TAAATAAAAAGCAATATGGTAAGAGAAGGGCTGCATCTTATATTTTATCTTCAGCTCTATGTGCCCAGTTAAGCTTTTACACCTCTTTCCTACTTTCCTAACTGTGAATCTTTTCATCTCTATGTTGTGGTTTGGGAGTTCAAGTAAATGCCTTTTTTTTTTTTTTCCTGGAGGAAAAAGATAGTATTGATTTGCTGAAAAGTACAGATGGGAAGCATTATCTTGAGGAGTAATTGCTTCTTAATAACAGAAGTAAGGATTTATTCCTTAGACTGTCAGCATGCCACTAAGGGCTAAAAGAAGGCTGAAGAGGGAGGTAGCATCCTCAATGTCAGTCAGGTCTTTGTTTCCTTGCTCTCGTTCCATTGGCTTTGCAAAGTGACCCAGTCCCCATAAATGAACATTACAGGTCTATCGAAACTACTTTTACAAAATAAGATTTTGTCTGGATACTTTCATGTAGCAATCATTTATAGAGCTGCCAGTCTGTTCCGCTGCTGCCTCTTCCCAAAACTCATCATGGAACCGAAATTCAAATTTTCATTTAGACTGGGCAAGAAACCGGATCTCTTTTATAAGGTAGATATTTCTCAGCTTCAAATTTACTCCTTTGCATAAATTAACAGCATGTGCTTTTGTGGGGGGCGGGGGCTCTTTCTCTTGGAGGAGGCACCTAACTCCAAAACTGCTGAGATTTACAAAGCCTCTAGGAAGATGTTAAAATGTTCTGATATATTGTAACACAACCTTTATTTCAGAGGCCATCTACTAATTACCCAGCAGCACCCATGCCGTGGGAAACACAGAGCATAAAAGGGTGCAGCTGGGGGAGGCATTTGGGAAGGGAGAGCGACTTTGCAAACTGATGGGATGGAGAGGACAACTTTTAGGGTTTGGAAACAGGAGGTCAGGCAAATGCTGAAACGAAGTCCGGACAGGGGTAGATTCTAGCGTGGGTCTCCGGCACGCCCCATGGGCCCGGGGCGCCGAAGCCCTCAGCGGCATTGTCCTCCCCCAGCTGGCGGCCGCGTCCTCCACCCACGCTCCCGGCGGGCGGGGAGCGCCACACGCCTCCGCGGCGCCGACCCAGGCAGCGGGCTCCGGCTGGGGGCTCCGGGCACCGTTCCCGGTGGAAGGGTCTGGGCCAGGGGAGGCGGAGAGGGAGCCTCGCTCTACACTCGCACAGGTTGTCCAGCGCGGGCTGAGGACAGAGAGGGTTAATAATCTCCCCGGGCATCTGCCCACCTCAGCCCTCAGCCCCCAACTCGGCTCCTCCGTATCCCTTTGGCCCGCCGTCGATCCCGAGAAACCCCTTCGACCCCCGCGACAGCCCGGCGTCGACAGCTTTTGTTTTGGCCGCGACGAAAATAACGATCCCAGAGGAGGAGGTGCCGGGGCTGCTGGTGGCTCTTCAGCACAGGGTTAGAGAGGAACGGGCAGCCGTGGCGGCACCTCCTCGTTCCCCCCACGCCCCGCGCCCTCTGCCCGCTAACCTGGCCGGGAGACCGCACGCCTCGGTGCTCACCTCACACTGCGGGGCCCGGGCTCCAAACGGCGTGGGGGGGCTGCAGAGCCGGCCGCAGACGGCCGCCGGTCCCTCAGGTACACCGAGCAAGCAAACGAGCGAGCTAGGACCGCCAGTGCGCGCCTCGCGGCGACCGCGAGCTTTCACGAGCGTCTGGGCGCGCGGCCTCGGGGACGCGCGCGCGCGCACGCATGGCGCAGGCGCGCTGCTCACGCTCGGCCGAGCGCTCCCATTTTGAGCCGGGTTGCGCGAGGCCGATTCGTCGCGCTTCGTTGTTCTCAGCCTCACTCACTGAGTGCTGTCTTGCGCTGTGGTAACCCCGTGGAGTCGTTCCCAGCTCTGCAAGCGTTTTTAGAAAATGTGTTAAGTCCTCACTGCAAAACTGCCTCTCCCCTGCTAAGAGAGCGCGGAGACTCTCATCGCCCCACCTTATGATGGTATTATTGCAAGACCGACAAAACCTGTTCTGAGAATGAGAGTGCCAACAAGGGGACCCGGGCATTGAGGTGGTCAAGAGGCGGGTCACCGAATCCTGAGGGTGGCACTGAGTGCAGGTAGAGGTAGGCAACTAGCCTGTTGCAGAGCTCCACGCCAGCACAACAGCGCAGGCAGGGGTACCTGTCCTGGAACAGTACATAATTCTCTTTGCCAAGACCTTAGTGAACAGGTGGAGACTGTGGTTATTGATAGCATTCCCCATCTTTTTGCTCCTTAGAAAATGTTTCTCTCTCTTTTTCTACATAAACAATTTTAGGGCTGAAAATGTTCTTAGAGATCATCTAAACGCAACCTCTCGTTTTTCAAAGGAGGGAAAGAATGCCCAGAAAGAATTAAATGACTTACCCAAAGCTACGGGGCGTGTTCATGACAGTCTAGATTAATTCAAGGCCAAAGTTACTCTTTTACTTATTTTACCTTTCTTGCTCTTCTTTTTTCTTCTTGCTCTTCCTTTTCGTCCTTTTTCAAAGAGACATCATCTTGTTCTGTTGGTATGTGAATGTACTTAACACTACTCAACTGTACACTTAAAAATCGTTTAAATGGTAAATTGTTATGTATATTTTACCACAATTTTTAAAAGGCGCTCAATAAAAGTTAAATAAATATTGAGTATTAATCTTAGACAGCCTTAAGTATAATTTGGTCAGGTCTTTATAACATCAAAAAGTGTGTTATGAGAAAAAGCATAATAAATGAGATCTAAAGTGACATTTTCAATTTTGCTAATAAGTATATACTTATGCAGTATCAGTTGTTTTTAAAAAAAGTAATGTTGATCCTTAGGCTGATTCTAAGCATGCCAACACTGCCTTTGCTGTGGGTGAGTGGGAAGGCAAATACGTGAAAAACCATGTGTTCCTTCTTTTTGTATTTCCAGACTCCTTATGTGTGTGGAGCCTCTGGAGATGTGCAGCTGTATGCATTTTTATGCAATTTACACAGTGTCCTTTGAAAATGTCGGGCATAGAACATGTGATAGCTCACATGGGGAGGTTGAAAAGACAAAGCAATTATCACTGAATGCATCAACATGATTAAATCTCAGAAATATAACACTGAGTGAAAAAAGCAAATTACAAGATATGTAAATTATTATGCCTGTTTAAGAACACCTAGCCATACTATTTATGAGGGCAAATGTATATGTGTGTGTGTGTGTGTGTGTGTGTGTATCAAAAAAATGGACAAGTAGGTTACACACCAATTTCATGACAGTGGTTACCTCTAGGCAGGTGAAAGGGGAATGGGGTCTGGAAAGAATACAGAAAAGGTTTCAACTATTAATCACACGCAGGAAACAAAAATGCTAATATTTTTAAAAATCTGTGTAGGAATACACGGTTTTTTCTTACACAAGTCTCTAAACTTATGTTTGAAATGTTTCATTTAGAAGTAATGGTGAGATGTCGCAGACATTGAGCTGGCATGCTCACTATGAATATAATGTGAATGGTGTCATTCAAACTGGGGGCAGTGAAGGTGGGGATCAGCAGTCAGGCTGGTGAGGTGTTGGACAAAAGAAGGCTCAGAGGGTGCTGGTTGAGAAGACAGACAAAAGGCACCTTATTTTCAGGGGTAAAAATAAAACTCAACAGGGTTAAAGTATGATGCTCTCTTTTATCCCATCTCTCTTTCATGCCATATTGTAACCACCAATAGAAAGGCTTTAATGAGCGGGAAGTTCACAGAGAGGAAGCACTCTTAGAGCATGTTGCTAAAACTGGTCTCGTTCTGGATGAACCCGTTTTGAAACCATAAATGTTAACTGGTGATACATGGTAATTTAATACTGTATCTATATACCTCCCCAAGGCCACCCTCCACCACCAAAGGCTTTGTTTATTCATTTAGGTACAACCTGGTCATGTGAAAAAACCACTACTCTGGCATTCAGACAATCTAGGTTCTAATTTCAGTTTGGCCACTTACAGATCCTTAGTTAACTCAAGGAAATCAGCAATCTCTATTAGCTTCATGTTTCTTTTTATTTTTAAATTGGAGGTATACAAATCCTGCCTATTTTAAAACTATGAAAGAATACAAACATAAGGTTTACATTTGTCTAACTTGGAAGAGAGAATATTCTTATCTATTTCGGTGAGGGAAGTCTTTTTGGGGGCGGGGGGGGTATTTTGTTTTGTTTTTGTTAGCTGCGGTCCATAAGAACCTCTGCTTATGGACCATCCATTAGATTTACTAAAGAAGCTCTGAAATTTGGAATTTTGGGTTATTCTCCAGCACTTTATAGTTTGATCACAGCAGTTATCACTGTGGTCCTTACATTATTTACACATTGTTTTTTCCAGCCTTTCTCATTAGATTTTTATCCTTGTATTCTTACTCTTCCCCTTACTACGTGGTGGGTGTGCAATAAATTTAATTAAATTAGACTGGATTATAAAACTTCGCACGTTTGGAGTTATTATTAAGGCATGCCATCTGCTGGTTTCACGATGTATCTGTCAGTCAGCCTGAATTCCTTAATATCCGATTGATTAAAATTAATGTCGAAGCATTTGTGAGATTGTGTAGTGGGCAATTTTCCGACATCCTTCCACTTCCTGTTGCAGGTACTATTCTTTCACTGGACCAGTCCCGAATTCTTTTTTCCTGCAACCCTCTTTTACCTGTTGGCCACTCTTAAAACCTGGAAAAATGGAGTTTATATTTCGGAGGCTCGGAGTGACCAGAGCAATATAATTTGGGGTATGCTCAGGAGGTTGGCCTGATTCGGAAAACAAATATGTCTTGAATGGGGGTTTTCAATGCTACTTGTTTCAAGATTGGATGCATCTTTGTTTAGGCATTATGTTGGGAGATCGCAGTCCCTCCCACCCTCTTGGCAATCTTTCATTATATCCGTGTGCCCAATTTTGGAGCCAGCCCTCCTGGATCTCCTGGCCAATCAAGAGACCACACATTGTTGCCTAAGAGACCCCGGATGCCAGCGAAAAGATTTATAGATGGTGATTGGACTACAGGAAGCTAGAAGGTGGGGGCTGGGCAAAGTCAAAGAAAAAGCAGCTATGGCAACACCAGCGCTTGAGGCTTGAAGAGGGAGTCGAGCTAAAAGAGGTGAGGCAGTGGGTAGTGCATGAAAAAGATGGAGACTCTCTTTCGAGAGCTCCACTCTCATCCTCCTGGGCCTCGCACAAGCCTTGTCACTGCTGCTGGGGATTACATTTTGCTCCAACTGCAGTTAAAGTGCCAGATGCTTCATACGAAATTAACAACCAACAAATAATTATTTATATGACTATCAAACATAGATCTTTTTATTGTATTATAGTTTTTGCTTTCTAACTAGTTTACTATAACATGAGTCAGTATTTAAATCCTAATGCCTGATGCTTTCCTGATAATATCCAAGGTTCTCTTCTCTAAAGATACTGCAGTGTACAGTGAGGTGTGTGTTAGCAGAGAAACTCAATACTATTCTGCTCTGTAAACTCCAAATAAAAACCTGATAATCCTAAGTATAAGTGCTCAATTCATAATGTTCTGAGTTTCATCCTACATTTCCACTAGTTTTAATCCCTAAACTGTCCTCTAAACTGTCCATTGTTTCATTCATTCCATTGATTTAACAAATATTTATCAAGGATCTATTATATACTATGAGATTAATATTCAGGTGAGCAGTATCAGAAAACCAAATAAGCAAAGAAGCATCAGAGTTTTGTATTGTTTTCTCTGAGAGATCTGAAGTTCAATGTGTCTGGGCAGATAGTGCATGAAGGGAGAGAGAGGCAAGTGAGGCTCAAAAGGTAAACTGAGGTAAATTCATAGTGGACCTAGACTTGCATGCTAAGGTATCTAGATATTGTGTAGCCATTAGCAAGCCTCTGAGGGTTTTTGAGCTGAACAGGGACATGATCAACTCACTAGCCTTTAAAAAACAAAACAACAACAAAAACCTCCCTACGTAGAATAGTAGCTACCAGATGTGAGGAGAGGGGAAAGAAGATATTAATCAAAGGGGACAAACTTTCAGTTATAAGATGAATAAGTTCTGGAGACCTAATGTACAGCATGGTAATGATAGTTAATAGTAATATAATGTATACTTGAAATTTGCTAAGGGAGTAAACTGCAAGTGTTCACACCCCCCGCCCCGCACACACACAAATGGTAACTATAGGAGGTGATGGATATTGAATAGTTTCATTGTTCATTTCATTATGTATATACATATCAAAACACCACCTGTACACTTTAAATATATTTCATTTTTATTTGTCAAAAAAGAAAACTCTAGCAGTGAACTGTAAGCTGCGTTAAAGCAGAAATTCTTACCTTTATACCCCTAACACAGGCCTAACAGGTCCTAGGCACAGTTGAATAATGGTGACAGTGTGAAGAATGGCTTGGAGATGGAATTAGAGATGTGTAGCACTGGAACTTTACCAGAAGACCCATCCTTGCTGTCAATATGGAAGTAGAAACATGGAACTAGAAACATACATTTTGGGCTAAGGCCACAGGCCCTCTCTCTTCCTTTTGGTCCAAAGAAAAACAAAAATTAAAGCTAAACATTCAGGAACAGCCATTAGGAGGAAACAGGTCACAAAAAAAGCAGCAGCAAGTTTTATATGTGAACGTAAGGAAAGACAACTTGCTTTGTCTTGTTGAAGGAGTGGGGACAATTATTTTGTGTGTGTTATATAAAAGTGTCTGTCTTTACAATAGTCCTGAGTGGTCTATACCATGAACATGTGTGTGCATGCACATATGCACCCTGCCTATCTTCTGGTGTGAAGGGAGGAGAAAAAAATTGTGAAAGGATAATTACAAAAGACAGAGTAGGGCACCCCCATTTTCATGCTTCAGCAGGACTATATTACCAAGAGGGCTATTTCTCCTGGCCAGATCCATCTCCTGAATACCAATTTTCCTGACGTTGGTTTGAAGAAAGCCTAGTTCAAATAAAAAAGCCTGGCTCTGAGCACCCAGGAAAAAATAAATAAATAAAACAACCAGTGCAGGGCCTTGGGGAGGACCTAGAAAAATTCCTGTGTCCTAATTCAAAAATTTTGCTTGGCTTGTTTCCTACGCAAAATGGGAAGAGAGTTTCTCCGCTTATAGCAGGAGTTTTTAACCTGCGGTAAGCAAAATTTTATGTTCATGTGCATTTTTCTAGGGAGAAGATTCATAACTTTCATCACATTCTCAAGGAGTTATTTGGCCCTCGAAAAAAATTAAAACAACTGGTGTAATAAAAAAAGAAAGGTCAAATCTAAACAAATAACAAAAAGAGAAATACATAGTTTTTAACTGTGCAGATCTAGACTTAGTGACCATGCTTTGTCTCTATAATTGGCCTGCTCGCATGTACTTTTATAGCTGTCAATTAATAATACTGCAATGAAATCATTTCTTACGCCTTTTGCAACTTAACTAAATATGTGTGACTTAGATGATGAGCTGTTAGGGGGCTGAGGAGAATGTGAAGGCTGGTCTGAGTCCCCTTTATTCCAGTGGCCTGATGGCAGCAGGTGGTGTCTAATGATGCCACTGAGTTTTTAAAACATTGGGTTTATCTTCAGCTACAATTTAATCCTGAGACGTAATATTATATGGCAAGTGAGAGCCTAGAAGATTGCAGATCTAGCATTTGGGGGGATCCCATAGCAACCACAAACTAATGATTTTTTTTTAACTGTCCAAGATGTGCTGCTGGCGAGTAATTTTTGGAACCCATAGATGAGGCAGGCAAGCCCTGGTCCCCTCAGTCATCACCACTGCCTTTCGGTATGAAACCCTCCTTCAGAGAGGAAGGCAGGCAGAAACACTGAGGATATACACTGAAACCACCCTCAGTCTGCTTTAAGTGTTTTCTACCTTAAAATATTTGTCGTGGCCCTCACAAGGACAGGTATTGAGCTAGCTGTGAATGGCAAGGTCAAACCTGTATGAGGTAAAAAAAAATTTGGTTGTGAACAATAGATTCTAGCTAATGTAAGCAAAAGAGGAAATTCATTGCAAGGATATCAGGTGGCTCACGACATGGACCAGAAAAGACAAGAGGCTTGGAGGCATGAGGCAGCAGGGACACCTCAGCGGAGCAGCAGTGCTGCCTTGAATAACTGCCTCAGCTGTAAAGTAAGGATAAGCCAACATCCGTCCAACGGGCCTGGCTCCATTTCGTGACCACCTCTGGGCTGGGGAAGGGAAGGCCACTTTGACTGATTAACCAACCCAGCAAACTTTAAACAATGAAGGAAAAGTAATTCCTTGTGGAAGTTATATTGCTTTAATAAAATGAAGGCAGACATATACTGAGCATTGAAAAAGAGTACATTTCCGCCAATAAATCCAAATCTGTCCATCTCCTAAGGCTTGGTATTTTATATTATTACATCATTCCACTTCTTAAATATGGTATCAAGCTAGAACCCTTGTTACTTAGATGTCAGAAAGTTAAGAGGGAAGGAAGAAAGTCACAAGGGACAAGGATGGAGTGTTTTATATTGCACTATGATTGTATGAATTAAAATACCTCTTCTTTCTAGCCAGTTCAGTATCCTCTTAGCTAGGAGTGATTTTGGGTTTCTCTCCATGGTCCAATGAAACTAGAGTTAAACAAACCTGTATCTGATTTTCAGTTCCACCACTTTCTGTCTGTATAATTTTGGGCAGAGCATGTAGTTTAAACGAGCTTCATTTTCTTTATCTATATAATGGCCTAAAACCTACCACCTCATCAGATTGTTAGGAACTTTAATTGAGCATACAGATTAAGTACTTCCAGTAAATGTTCTTTCCCTCAATTCCTTCTTTCAACATACCAAAAGATTGTATGCTATTAATATTCTGAAGATTACAGGGAAAAGGAAGGGAAGGGGAAAGTCAAGGAACATATAGCAAGGACTCATGGACAAAACCAAAGGGGAAGAGCTGAGGGAGGGAAGGAGGGAGGGGGCAAGGGAAAGTGGTGGGGGGAGGCAGAGACAAATGTATTTGAAAAAATAAAATTAAATTTAAAAAAAATATTCTGAAGACTATATGATTCATTTCTTCTGCTAGGTATAATATTTCTTACGGAAGAATACCCAGTTATTTCATGATGGCATTTGCACCTCCAAAAAGCACGGATGGTCCCAAAATGCAGACAAAAATGAGTACCTGGACACCTTTAAACCATCAGCTTTTAAATGACCGGGTAAGTGACCAAAGCTGTTTTATCAGTTGCATTATTGCCTTAAAGGAAAAAAAAAGTACTCCCTGACTGGTGTGGCTTAGTGGATTGAGTGCTGGCCTGTGAACCAAAGGGTCACAGGTTCAATTCCCAGTCAGGGTACATGCCTGGGTTGCAGGCCAGGTCCCCAGTAGAAGGAGTGCAAGAGACAAAGACACATTGATGTTTCTGTTCCTCTCTTTCTTCCTCCTGCCCCCTCTCTCTAAAAATAAATAAATAAAATCTTTTTTAAAAAAGGAAAAAAGTATTAAAAGTTTGGTTATCAAAATATGAACAGCAATTGTTTAGGATTCTGTAATGGATGGAAAAAATGAAGGATTTTGTTTTCAAAAGTTTTTGATTCCTTCCTATGTGGGCAAGGCCGGCAGTAAACCAAGTCCCTACATGTGATGAAAATGTCTTAGATTTGTTCTTTCCTGCAGCCACTGCTCCTCTGTCTCACTCTAAATGCCTTTTTTCTTCTATCACTCGTTCTCGGCTGGAACTACCAGGAATGAGAGAGAAGAAGGTGGTTTATGGGGAGTTCCCTGAAAAACAGATTTTCTTGCTAGAGTTGAAGTTACAAGATAATGCTGCACATTTAACCAAATAAATAAAATGAATAAATCTCATCCCATTATTCACATGACTGAGGTTCTCCTAAGAATTTATTTCCAACCTGCATTCGGGGGAGGCACTAGTAGAATACACTGAACAAAGAACCGTAAGGGTGGGAAGCTGAATATCATGCTAGGGTATGAGACTGGCCACGCTCTGGAGATTTCTGTTCCTTCTTCAGGTAGGGGCAGAATTTACCAGCTGGTCTGTGAGCTCCTGTTATCAATACCATTGACACTTAACCACCAGATGTTTGAACTGCGCAGGTCCACTTATATGTGGATTTTTGACTATGCAGGGAGTCAGCATCCCTAACCCCTTCATTGTTCAAGAGCCAACTGTGCCTATGACAAGGACCACACCTAGCTGGCAGTAAAATCACCATCAATAAAACGGACCTCTGCCCTGGCTGGACTACCATCTCGAACACAAAAAGGTTGAGAGTTTGATCCCCAGTCAGGGCACATATAAGTACCTAGGTTGCGGGCTGATTCCCTGGTCGGGGAGCATCCGGGGGGCAACCAATTGATGTTTGTCTCTCATGTCAATTCACCCCCTTCATCTCTCTCTAAATCAATAGACATATCCTCGGGTGAGGATTTAAAAAACAATAACTGACTTCATTATCTTGCTCCTACACACTCATTCCTTCCTCTGGTGGAACACCGAGTTCGACTTCACACTAAGTCACTTAAGCCAGACAACTTCCTTCTCTTTGTTGGGTCTGGAACTTGATTTCCCCCAAATTACAAGTTAATAACTTAGCCCGTTACTTATGGCATAGAAAATAATACAGATTCACAGAAAAGACACAAGATTCTTGGGTCAGAGACAAAGAACTTCACTGTTCACAATGCAGCAAGCCGCATGAGCATCATGTTTGTGTTGGTTCTTCTTGCCCTCCTGACCGACAGGAGTGATGCAGAGGCCCCAGGCAAATACTGCACACGCCATGGGTTTCTGCCACAGCGGAAGGATATGAGCCCAGGGAATCCACTGCTTTTACGGTGAATAGTAAATAAGCCTGCTCTTGGTCCCAAAGGGAAACAGTACCTCCTTGCTCAAGGTTGCCTTGCTACAAACAAAACTTGGAGAAATGGCAGTCAGGGCCTTGCATTCTTGGTATCCCAGGACCTATTGGAGTGTAAGAGGCCCGGGGAGGACTGTCAGCCAACACCCCTCACCTCCATAACCAGTTCATTTTCAAGTTCTCGGAGCCTTCCTCCAGCCTCCTTCTCTCCAGTCACCTATATTTCTCCAGCTCCACATTCTCAGTTCACACCCTCATCACCCTTTGCCTGGTGCATTGTAGCAACCCCCTAACAGGTTTCACTGCCTTTATCCCTACCAATCCATCCTCTCTTTTGGTTCAGAATGATATTTCTAAAATACTAATCTGATCCTATTATGTAAAACCAATAGCAGGCCCTACTCCGAACGTTAAATCCCAAACTCCCATGCATAGCATTGAAGACCCTCCAAGTTCCAACCCCTACCGCTGCCTCCACTCATCCTCTGTCCAGGCCGACTAAGTGGACCCCAGATGAGCCATCTCCCTCACACCACCACACCTTTGCACATGCTCTTCTCATTCAAATATCATCTTCTCTGGGAAGCCCCCTCCTGCTTGCTTTTCTTTGCTCTCATCACTTTTTACTGACTTTCCCATTCAACTCTAATGTGTTGAGTTGAGATTGTCTTTTGTCTCTGTCTCCAGTGCCTGATATGGTTCCTGAAACACAAGACAAGGAGTCACCCTGCGACCTCCCTCCATTGACTCTCACCTTCTTGTCCCTCCTTCCTGGGCCTGCATTTGGCCCTTTGCCTCCCTGAACCTAACAGATATGCTCATCAATCTGGCAAAGCTGGAGCACCAATCCTGACCCCTCCTGCTCAGTACTTTCCTGTTACTATTCCTGTGATGTATAATGTGAGCAATTTGAGGATTAAGGCAGAGGAGCCAGCATAGTGGCCAGAATAATGAGAAACAAAAGGGAGAGACACTGAAAAGGAAAATGACAAAGGAAAGAAAAGAAAAGAAATAGAAAAGGAGGGACTAGGAATAAAAAAAGGAAAGGCAGGGAGAGAGAGAAGTCAGCCTTCATCTAGCCATGAACAACATAGGTCTATTGAAAGACTTCTTTAATTCAGCTCAACAATTATTTGTTGATCACCTGTTTGCAATGTTCTTAGCCCTCCAGCAGGTTATATAACAACTTTTCTGCTCCCCACACATACCCAGAACTTGAGTGTTTAGTTTTGAAATCTGTTTTTCTATAGAATGATGAAGGTTTTACACACGTGTGAAAAAGTGACTCAAATTGAAATACCTATTCATTGGATGCCTTGCCTTTCAGAAATTTTCTTTGAAAAATTAGAAGTCTTAAGTAATTTAGGAGCTGTGGAGAAAAAAATGTCTTAATTGCCTGATGGCCTGTTGCAGATTGGGTCGCTAGAGAAGCAGCCTCTGAGATGGACACGTCGGGCGTTCACTGGGGAGGCTCTGGGCATCATCAGCACTGGGACGGGTGGGGAGCTAAGGAGAGGGCCGGGGAGGAAGTGGAGCGGAGGGGAGGAGGTTTGGGGCAGAGGAGGAAGCTGGGCCATGGCGCACTCTCAATAAGGCTCCCTGTGGCCGCCCCAAAGGTCCTGGACCAGGCCGATCTCTCAAGCTCACGGCTGCCAGCCAGCAGCACTCCCAGCAGGCGGGGGAATAAATAAATAAACCCTTCCGTCTCACCGGGGCTCTGCGCAGTTTATCACAGCAAACACTGCATTGTCTTATCTTGATTCTTAACTAGCTTTTGTCAAATTGAATGATTTCTAGAGATAATATTTATTTTGTTGTTCAGACAGACCTCCCATTTTATTCCCCCAAAATTATTTTTTGGTTTAGTTAAGTTCTCGTTTGGAGTAAAATTATTTTTTTAAATCTTCACATGTGTATAAATGTAAATATACATACACATAGAATTTGTGTATGCAAATACCAAACTATTAATCGTGGCTTCACCCAAGAGTTGAATGGCACTAGGGGAAGTCATCCTGTTAGAAGAGAGCTTTCATTTTTTACTTTCTACAGTGCAATAAAATTTCAAAGTGTAAAACAATTTTTAAAATAAATATAAATGCAAGTAAATATAAATGTAAATAAGTATTTTATTTATAAATAAATTTAAATACAAGTAAAATAAATATAAATAAATATAAATACAGAGTGAAAAGAATAACTGGGAATTGAACATTGTGGTTCCAGATCACCTGTACCAATAATTCCCATGTAACTGGAGTAAGTCATTTACCTTCTCTAGCCTTTACTTTTTCTTCCTTTATGAAATGAGTAGGTTGGATCATATGACTTTGAAGGTCTCTTTCACATCTAACATTCAGACTGTGTGAAAGGAACTAAAAATAGATGCCAAGGATACAGCTGGTCTCCAAGTGTCCATACAATAATTTCAAGGGATTTTCTACACTTCTAAAACAGGGCATTTGTCACTAGTGATCAGTGTAATTCTGAGGTTGTGCTTTTTTGTTTTTGTTTTAATTTTCTCCTGTTTTGTAGGAAAATATGAAATACATGACTATTCCAGACTAAAATAAAAGTCACAGGATTTTTAGCTTCAATGCAGGCTTTAAGCAGAAAGATGGAATTCAAATTCAGATGCCTAAAAAAAAGAAAAAGCGTCATTAGCATTAGGCAAATGTAATGGATTTCAAATAATTCAGGTATTGTGAATTTTGAGAGGAGGAATGTTCTGGCTATCTAGTGTTTGAATTGAAAGTAACCAACATTTCCTTTCGAGTATGGTTCATGGATGTACTACAGCACATGTTAAAAGGGTGTACTGAGAAATAGCACTTTGTTACCATCAATCAATCATCATTTAGGAGCCTCTGTCTTACTCCTACACTGTAATAATGTCACTTAGTGAAATATGTAACTACAGTGTCGATAGACTAAAATAACAATGTTGGATTTTGATTTAACAGCAGACTGAATAAACTGTGTTATAAACATTCTGCAAGGAAAGAAGATCCATTTTAATATTTCCATTTTGAATCGATATTTTGTTTGCCAGCTCTTTACGATGAAGAACATGATTGCAAATCTTTGAAATGAAGACTCCCTCCAAACCAGAGAATATAAGATGCTGACTGAGGACCTGACAATTAAATAATTTGTCCCAAATTATATTTCTTGTCAAGGATAGCATCAGAACCAGATCTGAGCCCCTTTGGTGTTTTCCCTCCCTGTTCACCCCTGTCCGTTTCTACTTGGATCTAGATGCCTTTTTGATAAAGAAACAGATTTGCTTGGACCCTGCTTAGACTTGATCATTGGTCCTTTAAAGACCATTATTTTAGCCTGAATAACATTCCTGAACAAAAAGCATTGAGTTGCACAAAGGGATTGCGATCTGATAGACACAGAAGTGGGTAGCAACCCAAACCACACTCTGGAGACAGCAAGGAAAGGCGAGGTTTATGAAGGCAAAACCCACAAAATGTAATTCTTTCATGCAAATAAAGGATTGCTGGTTAGGTTAGCAAGGATTGGTTAGTTCCAATATGCAAATAAGCAGACAGAAACTACTAGGAAGGAAGTAAAGTCCATATGTGTCCATGAAGCAGTTGCTCTAGGGTGTTTGTGGCTCCAGGATGTTTATGGCTCAGCCCTGGGGTGAGTTAAGCAACAGGTGTAGCAACTTAAATGCAGCTCTGAGAATTAAGGCACAAGATGTTCATAGGCCCCATTTCCTTAATAACCTTCTGACTCTATTTTAAGTGACTCTTTTAGCAATATTTATTCAATTTTATTTTTTCCATTATCATTTGGACCCTGCTTAGATTTGGTGGTTGGCCCTCTAAAAACTGTTGTTTTAGCCTGAATAAAACTCCCGACTTCCCACCCTACTCCTTTCCTGCTATTTCTTGCTGATTCTCCTCGCCCCTTCAGGTCAGTGCTCCTTTGTTTCCAATGCTCCCTATTGTCCTTGGCCACCATAATGGTCGTCCCATCCTACTTTTGAAAGGAGACTGTAGTCTTGGGGTCTAACCTTTTCTTCTCCCACTGTGAAGACAAAGCATGTCGGGCTTGAAGTCAGGATAGGGAAGACCAAGGTTCTAGTGAGGAACCAAGTGAGTTGAACTGAACAGACAGCCCGGAACCAGTGATTTTTTAAGGAGCTATAAATATAAGCCCCTTGGGCCTCTGGTTAAACTCTCTAAAACAAGGACAGTGAGCAAAAAGATCTTCAGGATTTCTCTGAATGCTAAGATTCTATGACTTTTGAAGCTCTTTTGTTGTTGTTGTTCTTGAATCAGCAGGTATTTTTTGAGGGCCTGTCACAGAACCTGTGGAGCATGTAGAAGTGGTTGTAATCTACGTAGGAAGATAAAATGAACAGAAACAACTAGAGAGCCATTGCACCCCCTACGGAGACCAAGCAGAACATGCGCTATAAGTAGAATATGAGTTGGGCGGAGCTAGGCCACTGGGCACCAGGAAAGCGGTGGTGCCGACAGCTTGGTTTGGGGGGCAGATCACTGATTGGATTTGGTTAGATAAAGGAGAAGAATTCAGAAAATATTTGACTCCAAATTTTTGAATCTTCTATACTCTAGGTTCTCTTCTATTTTCATCTAGATACTCTGAGTATATCTGTTGCTCAGGTAGCAGTTAATTAGGGGGGAGGAGAGAAAGGCATTCTCTTTCTTCTTTAATGTACAAGGAATATCTACCTGTGATATATGAGATTCTCTGGCCAAGAGCAAAACCGACATTTTGCTGGTTTTAAGGTTGCTGTTGAACCAATTATTTCCATCCCCGTTTTGTATGCCCCTTGAAGCTAGGCTTTGAGAGTCTGTAAAAGGAAGGAAAACATGATCTGTTGTAGAAGCAGAAAACCAGCTCCTCATGCTTCTCCACAAAAAGGGAAGAATAAGCCTGCGTTACCCTTCAAGTAAGAACATTCTTGCAGTGCTAGAGAATGTAGGTAGTGCTGAGAGGAAGGGGAAAATGTCGATTCCAATTTTTTTACAATGTAAATCATTTTTATTTTTTATTTATGGGTGACATGCAATATTATATTAGTCTCAGGGGTACACCCCAGTGATTAGATACTGTGTAGCTTACTAAATGATCATCCTGATAAATCTTGTACCCATTTGATACCATACATCGTTATTAGAATATTATTGACTATGTTCCCTGTGCTACACTTTACATCTCTATAACTATTCTGTAAAAATCCCTTCACCTTTTTTCTCCCTTCCCCCTAACATGCCTCCCATCTGGCAACCATCAAAATGATTCCAATTTTGAAAGCTGACAGGTTGTATGTGTAGGAGTGAGAGAGACATTTACATCTGTTCATTACTTTCCCTTACTTCCTCTCTCCATAGTTCCCTCCCCCGCCAAACATTCTCACATTAGTTTTCCCTTCCTCACTCATTCAACTACACCTGTGAGTGATGCTCAGAAAAGCACCTCTGCACCAATAGGTAAATAACTCATGTGTACCAATATATCCATAAAGATATTCATTGTCACTTTCATTGCCACATTCATTTAATCCAGTAAATGTGAGTACCTGTGGTATACGCTGTAAACACTCTATACCAGGGATGGAAAGATGAATAAGACATTATGTTCTAAATACTGTATAACAACAAACCTATACAGATAAACACCGAGTTGTAAGTCTTGAGGTATACATATAACCATTTCTGATCCTACAAACATACAAGTACATATATAGCCACTGATATGTATATACACTGAAATATAAAAACAGCTGTTCATTCATAAATTTCAAAAGATCTAAAAATATTAATACTGAAATATTTGGGGGGAGGATCTCCATTCTCCTGTTTTTTGTCAGTTTTTTCATCTCCTTTCAAATTCTAAAATTTGTTACACTTTAGAGTTTCATTCTTTTCTTATTTCTTGCCTTTAAAAACTTATTACTTCTGCCCTGGTAGGGTGGCTTAGTTGCTTGGAGCCTTGTCCTATACACCAAAAGGTTTCAGGTTTGATCCCTTGTCAGGACATATACAGGAGGCAACCAATCAATGTGTCTCTCTCACATCAGTGTTTCTCTCTCTCTTCCTTCCTCTCTCTAAAATCAATAAGCATATCCTAGGCTGAGGACTAAAAAATTATGACTTCTTTAAAATGAATTATTCCACATGCAGAAACTGAGAGAAAAGATACCTTGCCCGAGGTAAAAATAAGTACCTTCTCAGGAATCAAATCTTTTTATACTCAGTTGACACAATGAAAAAACTACTTATTTATTGATAATACTTTAATAATGTCTTTCTTGTAATGGGTATTTTGACCCATGAATTATAAAATTATTCCATTCTTTTTTATTTACTGTAGGTATTTGAAGAAAGAAGAGCTCTGCTTGGAAAATGGGTAAGCATTTAAAATATGCTTCTATATTTGAAACAGATAAAATACACTTACTCCTATATTGTTATGTTACCATAGAGCCCAAAGAATTCATTTTGGACATAAGGTAAGCAATGATGATGGCTCACAGCCTGAGAAGTTTGGTACTTTCTGTATCAGTTACAGTTGTCCGGAAAAACAGAAAATATAGCAGTTATTTTAACACACAATTAAATTTAATAAACAGCAGTGGTTACACAAAGACTGGAAAAGAGAAAAGACAAAAAGGGAGCACTGAGGTGCCATGGAGTCAGTACTGCAGGATGTAGCTGCTTCCAGCTTTGCTGATGCCTTGGGAGCTCAGAGGAAGGACCAGCTGGGAGCAGCCTGGGTGGGGGAACCCAGACTTCTGAGGAATAAAGTAGATAGCAGCCAGCTGGTCCCTAGGTATCTGAGGAAGTGTGGAAGAAATTAGACCCTGGAATCAACAGTTACTGCCAGGGAGGAGCGCTAGGGTGATGCTCCCAGGAACAGCAAGGAAACAAAGGAATAAGGCTCTTCTACCTCAGTTTCCCTCTAGTACCACCCTCTCCATTGGCAACACTTCACAGGGAGTCAGCTGTAAAGGAGAAATACGGTTTATAAAGACTCAGTCTGCTATACTCACAAAGTAGAATGCACAAAGGTGAGTTTGGATATGAGAGACAGTAGCTTAATAACCAGCACAGTTCATCCATTTGGCTACTTAGCATCCATATATATGCTTATACATATGCTTCAAGTTGTTACAGTAACAACTTTATGCTAGTATCTAACAAGGTGCAACTATCCTTTATACAAATGTGGACTTTCTTACTTTTTCTTTAAAGGATCCACAGAGTGCCGGTGGTCATTATCCATCCCTGTGCCATGGTCAAAGTACCCATCTCTGGCCAAGGTTTATTACTTGTCACATCGCTCAACAGTCCCTTCTAACAGTCTCTGTACCCTAGGAGAGTTGGAAACATATTTTCAACTCCCAGACCCAAAAACTTGTACACGAATGTTCATAGCAACATTATTCATAATAGTCAAAAAGTATAAATACCGAAATATCCATCAACTTATGAAGGAATAAGCAAAAGGTAGTATATCCATGCAATGGAATACTATTCAGCCTTTATAGAAAGTGTCCAAAACAGGAAAATCCATTTTGACAGAGTATAGGTTAGTGGTTTCCAGGGGCTAGAGTACAAGTGGGAAGAGGGATTGACTGTAATTGGTACGAGATACCTTTTTGGGGCAATGGAAATGTTCTGGAATTAGAGAATAATGGCTATACAACTTTGTGATATACTAAAAACTACTGAACAGTACACTCATAGTGCTGAATTTTTTGGTATGTGCATTAAATCTCAATTTTAAAAATAAATCAGGATTCCTTTAAAAAACTATACTTGGATTTCCTTAATTCTTGATATATGTAATAAACTTGAAATATTCCATCTTTAAGACATACAAAGCCTTCTTCCTTAAGGGGCCGTCTTTGACCCAGGATGTAACTCCTTTCCCTTGAGTTACTGAAACTCATTTTCTTAAGTGTCTTAATGTGTTCAGGCTGCTATAACAAAATGCACAGTCTTACAAACAACAGAAATTTACTTCTCATAGTTCTAAAAGTTAGGAAGTCAAAAATCAAGGCACTGGCAAATTTAGTGTCTTGTGAGATCCCGCTTTCTGGTTCATAAACTACTGTCTTTTCACGGTAACCTTACATTGCTGAAGGGGTGAGGGAGTTTTTACAAGGACACTAATCTCATTCATGAGGGCTCTACCCTCATGACCTAATCACCTCCTAAAGTCCTGACCTCTTACTACTGTCACCTTGGGGGAGAGGTTTCAACATACGAATTTGGAGATGAGGGGAACAAACATTCAGTCCATTGCACTAAGACTAACATAAAACACTATTTCTTACTATTCTTGTTTATCTTACTTGGTCACCAGTTCTTTTCTGTGTTGGTCTACAAGCTTCAATCTAAAGATATTTATTAACCTAAGCAAAAAAAAAAAAAAAATCATATAATGTCTCTGGAAGGATTCAAAAGAAAAGGGGCGACATTGGTTTCCTCCAGCGTGGAGAACTGTGAGTCTGTCACGGGGTTTAAGAGACTCTTTTCTGAATAGCTTTTCGTATCTTTTGATATTTTTAGTCACGTGAATGTATTGCCTATTCAAAATAATAATAAACTATACAAAATAAATTTAGTAAAAATTAAGGCATTAAAATACCAAAAATTTAAAATGTAGCTGAGTTTTTTTCATATTCTATATATGTTTTTAAAAAATGTTTATTTATTGATTTTTAGAGACAGGAAAGGGGGGAGGGAGAGAGAGATACTGAGATTTGTTTTTCCAATTATTTATGCATTCATTGGTTGATTCTTATATGTGCTCTCACCAGAGATTGAACCCAAAACCTTGATGTAGCAGGACAATGCTCTAACCAACTGAGCTATGCAGCTAGGGCTGTATATATTTTTAAGCTAATTTTGCATCTGTTACCAGAAACTTAAAAAGAGACTATGTGGAATAACTATGTTTGCATCAGCTATCATTCCACTTACTATTAGTGGAAATCCCTAAGTTAATACAACCAGGACTAATGTTTAGTCAGTATTTGGTGTGACCGATCAGTTTCCAATTTGGTTAATGGCATTGTAGTGTGCCCTTCGATAGCTCAGCTGGTAGAGCGGAGGGCTGTAAGCTATGTCTGTGTGATTGATTAATGGCATTGCCAATTATTAAATATTTTAAATGTTACCCTGGATAAGGTCTTCAAACATTTTAAAAGATCTTATTTACTCTTTGTTTTACCATAACTAAGAGAAATATGCATTTTCAGAAATCACTCTTTCTTGTTCCATAGACTTACCTGCAGTGGGCAGACATGGTTCTGTCATGCTCTTCGTTGTATATTTCTTGATTCCACCAAGCATTTAATAAATATTATGTAAATGAATAAATGATACTCACTGTTTTTTCTATTTTGCCCAAGAACAAACTTATTCTTGAAATTTCCTAAGCCATGTAGATTTTTTTTGTTTGTGTGTTTCATGACTACTTAAGAGACTGACAACATAAGAAAAAAAGAAATATATTTTCCATTTCCCTAATTTTCAACATTTCCTTCTCTACTGAATCCCATCAGCACTTGCACGTGTCCTAACCGAACTGCCTCCCATGTTTAAAAAGGACAGAAGGAGAAAAGAGAAGCAGAAACGAGCTTTCGTCCCCCGCTCATAATCCACCCTATGTTTCTCTTCCCTGACCCAAAACCTCTGGAGCCAACCACACGCCTGTAAGGATCCCACCTCCCATCTCCTCAGCGACTGCCTCGCCCTTCCATGCAAACTTCAGGGCCCAAAGCACCCCACTTAAAAAAAAGTCATTTTCCAAAAAAGAAAGGAAAAATAAGGATACCAATTTTACTTCCTTACTTAGCATTACTTGGGATTTTCATTATAAGGATCATGTATTGGTTTTAAAGCTCAATCTACTATTAGGAGTAAAGTCATTTTAAAAAACAATCTGGACATTGTAAGGTAAGATGTAATTTGAAACCTATTTAAGATAGACAATCCAAAAGTATTCTCTATTTGTCCATAGCATGTCACTTTTGTTTGTATATTTGCACACGGTCCTGGCTGATGTTCTATACAATAAAAAACAAAATAATTGAGAGAAACTGAAAAGCTCTTCTACTTTTACGGTTCCATGCTACTACTTGCTCCCTTATCACAAATCTCTGCCATTCAGCCTGTTAGAAAAGACAGCCTACTGTCTTATATTTTCTGTTATTCAACAGAAAATAACAGTAGTAGTATTTTAGAGGAAAAGAAAGCATCTCACATTTTCCCCAGCTTCTATGCTGTTAACAGGAATAACATTAATATTATAAAGAATTTGCAAAAAGTAGATGGTGTTACTTTCAACTTGCTGCAAACAAACATAATGATTAAAATTCAAAAGAGAAATGGGAAAATATCTTGCAAATTGCATGCTAGATAAAAATTACTATCTAGGAGATATAAAGAGTTCCTAAAAATCAATAAGAAAAATGCAAATACCTATACAGAATAATGGGCCAATAGAAGAATGAGAAATATACAAAAATATACAAATGGCTAATAAACACATGAAAGATGCTCTATTTCACTAAACTTAGAGAAATACAAATTAAACCATGAGATTCCCAATTCCTCCCTTTGTCTATGTGGCAGAAACTAAAGAGATAGATAATATCCAAAGTAAGGTTCAGTAGTGAATAGGAGGGTATGCTTAAACACAACTGGAGGGGATGTAAAAATGGTAAAGACATTTAGAAGACAGTTTGACAGGCTCTATTAAATTTTTAAATGCAAATATCCTTTGAACCTGTAATTCTACTTCCATGTTTCTGTACTAGAGAAATGTTCACATGGAACATGAAAAGGCATGTTCTGGGATATTGCAGGGGGTTTTTTTGTTTTGTTTCGTTCTGTTTTTGATTGGAAATAATCTAATGGTATTGGCAGTAAAGTAAGTAAATAGATCATCACGTATCTATTCTACCATGAATGAATGAGAAAACGATATGATCTAGAGTTCATTAGATATCAGGTTATTTATGGCTATATTTTGTCTTTAAAACTTCTGTGTAATATTCTACAGAATGGGGATACTCTAATTTACCTAACTGCTTCCCTATTGCTGGATATATGTGTATGTTAATGCATAGAAACGCGCCGACGGCGGTTGTTTCGGGGGAACGGAGCGGTCCTTGATGGGGAGGAGTGCGTAAAGAGGACTTTCATGTTTGATTATATTCCTACATATTTGAAACTTTTAAAACAAGAATGTATTCATACGCTAATTATGAAATTAAGTTTTTGACAATAGGACTCAAACTAGGGTAAGATAAAATAATAAGCAAAAAATAACAAGCCCCCCTCTTCATCTTGCCCCTCGCTCCCCGTGAGCTTTCCTGTGCCACTCTAGCAACTTCCTCACTTCCTGAAACTGCAGCAGAATCGCTGTACTACTCCCATTACTCCAAGAATAGGATTTTCACAGTTCTGTTGAATCAAGAAAGCCCTTTAAGCAGGCATTAAAATAACGATAAAATATAATTATAGATATGACATAACACAACACAACATAATGTAAAAAGTGAACTGTGGACACTGACCCCCCCTTTTGGGGGGGGGATGCACACATTTATCAGTAGAAAAAATAATAACAATGAACTGTGAAGCAAGGTCCCATAAATGATACCAGGATAGGAAAATGGCGCTAGCTGTCCCCCAGTCTCACATGTTGGATCGATGACTACTGTGTCATAGGTGTTTTTGCTTGAGAGGTGATGCAAGACATGAGAGATTATCGAATTCCTGGACAGTTAAATCTTCCATGGATTATTTGCTTTTTGGATTACTCCTAGTCCTTTTAAACGTCAAAGGGGATTTTCCCCAACTGTTAAGCATTATTCTGAGTCATCACTTTCAATTGGTACGAGTTCAAGGAATGCAAATTCGTTTTCTATCTAAACAAACACAATTCGAAAGGAAAATTCCTTGAGGCAAAGAACACCTATCAAAGCCAAATTTAAATTACCCTGAACCATTGTAATCAGGGAAAGGAGAAACCGACGTAATTGTCCTTTAGCTTCTTAAGAAAAATGTTTTAATGTTTTCTCTTACAGATTTCTTCAGCATTTTATAATCCTAATGTTCTTTTATAGTCACTCCTTCAGTGTGAGCCCATTCTCTTTTGGTGGGCATCAAAGAAAGCAGATAAGAAAACCTCAGCCATTCTCAATGCATTTCCCATTCTTGTCAATGACAAACAAGGGTATTTAATGCTTTTTAATTTAATTGTTTATATATATTTTTATTTTACATTGATTTAACCTACCTACTTACGATTTTTAAATTCACCATGATAGTTTATTATAATTGCTGCCATGTCTACAATGAGTCAGGCACTCTATCAGAAATTTTACACATATATTACTTATTTACTCCTCACAACAATCCTGCAATGTAGATATAATTATTCTTAATGTATAAATGAGGAAACTGAGACTGAGAGAGATTGTTAGTGGTCGAACTGGGATTTAGTAATTTATTTCTAATGATTATTAGAAATAATGGTCTCATTCCCAAATCTACCATCAACATAATGCCAGTTTCTTTTCTCCTGTTGATACAGTACAGTTTGCTTAGCTGATCCCCTGATGTTAGGCATTTTGGGTTATTTCTGATTTCTCGCAGTCATAATAATATCTCAGGAAAATTGTTTTGTAACCATAATTATCCTGCGTCCCCATGAAGCTCAGTTTCTACGGGGCCACATAGCGTTGTCTGAAAATAATTTGAAAAATAAATTTCAATTTTCATTTTGTTTTGCAAAGAAAAATATCACAGAGGATCCAGTTCAAAACTTTTAATACTTCTCATATCACCTTCCTTTATTCCTCAGTCTTCTCACTCTGTAGAACTGCTGTCAAGTCGATGACAGTCTGAACCCCCAAACTCCCAATCAGCCAAAACCCCAAAGCTCCTCTGTCTCCTCCCTTTGGCTCTTTATTTTATAGATCACTGCAGCCTCTTGGGCCTGGTCCTTCCCCAACCGTGGCCATTCTATTCTGGCTTCTCTTTTCATTCCAGTAATCCATCCCAAAAGGAAAGAAGTTGGAGATACGGATTGTGCAGAAACAGGGATAGGACAAATCAGGAACCACTTACAGATGAATACATTTTATTCACTCATTTTTAAGTTAAAGTTTTTGGTATTTTTATTCATTTTAGAGGGTTTTTTTCCCCCTCTTGAATTATAGTCCCCACTTGAGATTTGTAGGTCATTGAGTAAATCTATAATAGTGAATAGTTTTAATTGAGAGGTATTCCTACTAATTAAAAAAATACATCATGTGAGTATAATGAAGTTGACTCTCAGGCTTGTACAAAATACATTTTTGATTTATATGCCTTTTTGGGTAGTCAGTGTATAACTAAAGTTCTTTATAAAATTCTGATTACTTTATAATAACTGAAATAAATATCTATATGTGAAATGCAATAGTGTACAAAATAGAAGTACCCACAAACTTCCCTATTTGCTCTAATGGGCAACAGAAGATAAGAGAGATTTAGACTCTAGTTAAGTGGCTTATTCAGCTGGTAGGTGTTCCCATAGAGCCTTTCTTTGGGTTTTAACCAACCCTCAAGTTCTTATCTTTGATCAGCTACTGATCTTGGGACTGACTGAGGTCATCTCTGGGGGAAATTGTGAAGTATCTAAAGTCTGGTGTGCTCCAGGTTGCTTTGGCATCTACTTCTTGTCTCTGGAAATCTTTTATCCAGGTCTTCCTGTTGATACTTCCTCTCCAATCACATCCATCATTTACAAATGAGTGGGTTTTGATCCAATATACTTTTCTTCTTCGGGATATTTGTATGTAATACTGCATTTCCAACTGTGAAGGCAAAGGTTTGTTTCTGGTCTTCAAGCTAATACACAACCCTTTGGGAGGAGAGGGTCTGCCCAGGCACCTTCTTTTGACGTTGTATTTTATAAATACATGTTTTCCCAGTTTGTGAATGTGGCCAGCTCCCAACTTACTGTTCTAATTAACTGCAAGTTCTTAGGTCAGGTGCCCTCTGTACATACTCAGATCTTGCTCAGGTTCACACATACACATGTGAGAAAGGGCATGTAGGTGGCAAAATGTGGAATTCACTAATTAGGGAAAGAAATACATGTCATTCATTAGGAATAAGTTACGCAACTCACTTTCTATGCCGCTTTTATCTCTTCCTCGTAATGAATCTCTGGTATCGGATTAAACCTGGAGCTTTTTATTTTCGTTCGTCTCTTTCCTTTTTTTCCAGTTTGACAAATGGACAGACTCTCAAAGGAGAAGAATCCTGACAGGCCTGTTAGAACGCTGCTCCCTGTCACAGCAAAAGTTCTGCTGTCAAAAGCTTCAGGAAAAAATTCCAGCAGAAGCTCTGGATTTTACGACTAAGCTTCCAAGGGTGTTATCCTTATACATCTTTTCTTTCCTGGACCCCCGAAGCCTTTGTCGTTGTGCACAGGTAAATGCACAGAAGCAGTGCAGGGCATTTTGTAAGGACAGCCTAGGAAATTTGGAACTTGGGGGAAAAAAAAAAAGCACACATAGCAGGTCCTCATATAACATTGCTTTGTTTAACTTTGTTTCAATAGAATGTTGATGAGATGCCATAGGAACTTAACTCTTGTTTATATCAGTTAGCCTATCGTAAAACTGGTTTCGTTATTTGTCGTTTCATTTAAAGTTGCAGACCTTATCGACAACAGTTGGTGAGGACTTATTGTGCACAAAACCAGGAAATAGATGAGATGATCAGTAAGTTTAGTCAGTAGAGTTCGGATCCACCACTGTCTCCTTTGTGTCCAACTCTATATTTACTGCTCAAAAAAGGGGAAAAAGTATAAGACATCATTAATGTCCGCAAAACATATTAGCTAGTTGGTGAGACAACACCCATAGAAGAAATGGTTCATCAGCATGATAGTCCTATATTGCACAGCATGCAACTGCAATGAAATCCTAAATTGTACAGTGCAGGCCATTCATTTATAGAAAAGCTCAAAATAAGGTGTTAATGAGATGTACAAAAGAATATGAGACCAAAAAATTTCAGAGTGAGCAAATGTGTTCATGGATTTGGAAAAAGATCTGACCATTATTTTCTTAGAAGTAATTCCGTGGTGTATTATAGTTAAATCACTTAAGATATAAAACTGGTAGTGATTTTGTTGAGTCTTTTCATAGAGCCTTATAACACCAGAATTTACCTGTTAGCATGCATTCATGTATGTGCAAAATGTTAACTTTCCTTTTTTAAATTAAGAAAATGAATTCAGTAAAAAAGATGAATTATTTAATAAATGGTGCTGGGAAAATTGAGTAGCTACTTGAAAATTTTTTTCTAATTGAACAAAACATTTTATGAAATAAAAGTACACCATTAAAGTACTCAAAGAAAACATAGGAAGGGAGGACTTGGTGAGTATTTCATAATACCCAAAAACCATAAAAGAAAATACACAATTTAAATTCTTGCTTTATTGCCCTGGCTGGTGTGGCTCAGTGGATTGATTGCCAGCCTGCTAATCAAAGGATCGCTGGTTTGATTCCCAGTCAGGGTACATGCCTGATTGTGGACCAGGTCCCCAGTAGAGGGCGTGCAAAAGGCAACTGCACAGTGATGTTTATCTCCCTCTCTTTCTCCCTCCCATCCCCTGTCTCTAAAAATAAATAAATAAATACCTTGATCAAAAAAAGAGAATTCTTGCTTTACTCATTGTATATATAATATTTATTATATATATTTTATAAGCAAGAATAAAGAAAGATAGATTTTAAATTGTGACTATAAAAATTAAAATTTTCTCTATAAAAAGGAATGTCATAAATACATCCAAACAGTAAACAGGGAAAACACATATTGCCAACGAAGGGCTAATTTCCTTATTTTGTAAAGATCTCCTACAAATCTATATTAAGAAAAAATAACCAACAAACCAGCAGAAAAATGAGCAAAGGAAATGAACAAGTAGTTTAAAAAAAGGAATGTAGATATTTCTAAAATATGTAAGATGTTCAGTCTCACTGTGTCCTGCCATCTTTCATGATTCAGATTGACTAATAAATTTTTAAATAATAATCTATATTGGTACAGGTGTAAAGAAACAAGCACTTATTGTTGATAGATAAATTGGTATAACCACCATGGAAAATAATTTGGGAGTATTAAATTTTTAAATAAATACTCCCTTTGACCTATCAATTCCATGTCTTGGAACTTGTGTGATGGATATACTTCAAGCTATGCAAAATTATATCTGTATGAGAATATTGCAGCATTTTTTTGTAATTGCAAATGTTTGGATACAATGAAAATGTCCACCATTAAGAGACTGGTTACATAAATTGCAACAATCTCCAAGATACATCATCAGTGAAAAAAAGCAAAGGTGCAGATTGTTCTACCACTTTGGAAAGATAAAAGAATACATACATATTTGTTAATATAGGCCTAGCATATTTCTGGACATACAAAAAGCTGGTAGCAGTGGTATAACCAGGGAGGAAAATGAGTGACTAGAGGACAGGGATAACAGAGAGACTTCCTTTTTACTGTGTGCCCCTTTGTACATTGATGTACATTTATTACTTATTCTAGAAATAAAACAGTCTTAAAAAGAGCATAGCAGGCTATGGCCTTGTAGCTCAGTTGGTTAGAGTGTCCTCTCTACACACCAAAGTTGCAGGTTTGATCCCTGGTCAGGGCACATACAAGAATAAACCAATTAATGCATCAAAAAGTGAAACAACAAATCTCTCTCTGTCTTTCTCTCTCTCTCTCTCATTTCCTTTCCTTGTAAAATTAAAAATAATATAAAAAGAGTATAGCATTCTAAATGTCAAGTAATAAGACAGTATTATATAGCCATATGATGAATTACATTGAAGCTATTAGAAAACATGATTTGGAAGAAAAATATACCTACTGTATGTAAAAATGAAGAAAGCATGATTTTAAATTGTATACAGACTTTACCAATTGTGTTTCATACATCCAAGGAAGGAAGGAAGGAAGGAAGGAAGGAAGGAAGAGAGAAAGGAAGAAAGAAAAGAGCTCTACCAGATTGTTAATAATGGTCATCTCTGATTGATGAGGTTATGTGAATTGTTTTTCTTTAAACTTCTCAGAAGTTTCCAAGTTTTCCACATGAGAATGGTATCATTCAGGGGAAACATTTGAAATAGCTGTTACTATTATTTATGGGCACCATATGTCAATCTTGCAAAATTTTGGTGTCATGTTTATTCCCAGTACTGACTGTGAGGAAGACACAGATGGCTATTCTTCCTCTAGATTTAAAGTAAACAATAAATTCATTGCACTAAAATGAGCTTAGAGCTGTTTCAAAAGATATGGGATGGGAGGCATTTATAGATTTGAAAGCTTCTATCTACCCTACAATTCTCTTTATTCATCTACCTTAAACAAGCAAATGAGCAAACAAAAACACCAAAAAGCAAAACTAAAATAAACAAAACCTTTATCTACCCTGGGAGGAAAAAGCCAAGTCTAAATATGCAGGTCTAAATAAGATTTGAAGAAAAGAAGGAAAACAAGAGGATTCAGAAATTTTTCTCTCCGTCCCCTCCCTCTAAAACCTCAACTCTCCATTGAATTCTGAGTGGATTAACATATAGAGATTAAGGTTGGTGCTCATTCTGGGTTGGACAATGTACATGTGATTTTTTTCCCTGCTTGGAAGCTCTATCAGATTCTCTAACCTTTTCTCTCCTTTCAGCCCTGAACCTCTCATTTCTTCTAATTGTGCCCTCCTCTCTCCTGCATGTATCATGTTTAGTTTATGTATCACATAAAACAGTGCTAAAAGTAGTAGGAACTCAATACATGATAGATAGAAGGAGGGAGGAAGAGCAGTGATAGATTAATGGGTGTATGGATAGCCAGATCCATTGTAGAGTGTTCTGTTTATATATTTTTTTTCAGTGTTCATAATTATTAATTAGTGAATCTTGAAAAGGAGGCTAGATTTCCAGGGATGAAATTCGGGTTTGAAGGTCATCTTTGCAATTCTTACAGCTAAGACACAGTCCCCTGGTCTCAACTTTATATATGAACTTGACCCTAGTTTCCAGCAAGACATATTCAAAACCTGGAATAAATTATTGTAAATACTGCTACACACAGTAGAGTCACTCCCACTCTATGCTGGATGCGTGAGATTGACCGTGATGCTATGGAAATGGAACGTAAAGGACAAGTACTTTGTGCTCCATGGAATTTTAAAGGCTATGTAGGACACACCATATAGTATCAGTATTTGTGTTCTGTTTATAAAATTTATATTTAGCTTAATCATAAGAATGGAGGGAAAACAGATGCATACCATGAAAAGAGTAAACGATGTGCAAACCTGAATTTCTATAACCCTCTTATAACTTTCACATGAAATTCAGGAACCCTTAGGAAATTCCAAAATCTATCAGAACCTCAGTTTCTTCATTTGCAAGATGAGAGTAATAACTTTATTTACTTCCTTAGATTGCTATGAAGACGGTTAATAGGAGCTCACTAAAAGTATGTTGCCTCGGATTCTAATACTGCATTAGAATTTAAAGAAAATCATTCTGCATGGGTAGGAAGCACTTGAGGTAGGAGGTAACTTTAAGCTGTGAGTTGGAAGAAAAGACCAAAAAAGTTCTTCAGTATCCAGGGCGACAGCTTAAAACCTAGTGAAAGTGGACATGTAAACTGAGTAGCTTCCCCCCGCCCCCAACTGTTGTTGTTTCCCCAGGTGAGCTGGCACTGGAAGACCTTAACTGAGCTGGATCAGCTCTGGATGCTCAAATGTTTACGGTTTAACTGGTACATCAATTTCTCTCCAACTCCCTTTGAGCAGGGAATATGGAAGAAGCACTACATTCAAATGGTGAAAGAACTTCATGTTACCAAGCCTAAGGTAAATTTGGGGCAAAGAACAACAAACTAACAAACATCTGCTCTTTAGGAATTCTAGAACTAAGGCTAAGTGAACTTGAACTTGGAGAAGGGAGTTGGTTCAAAGCAAGTATATCATGACTTCAAAAGCCTCCTTTTCTGAGAACTTGACAGCCCTTTTCAAGATATCCATGTCCATGAGAGCCCTCATCGGACACTCACAAACCCCAGTTCCACCCAGGAGGCCAGGACTGTGGAGCTCCTCCCTCTGCCCAGGCCTTGGATTTCCGTACCCCTGACTCACACCCCCGGCAATCCTGGCACGGGCACTCTGTGGGGAAGGCGCAGTATTTGTTAGGGATGGGTCATCAGATTCTACTTTACTGATTCAAATTTTCTGTGATTCTTCTAGGTCAGCTTAAGTTTATTTTTGTACCATTTATAAGGAAAGGTTTTTCAATAAATTCATAATTAGGGAAGGGCATAAGGGGCATATTAATTTTTTTTAAGGTTGAAACTACCAATGTCATGCAATTACATATAATCATAAAAAGTAAGTACTACAAGAACATTTTTTTCTGGCAGCTTTCTATAGATTATAACCAATGTTTATATTTATTCTTATAGTCACAGTTAATTAGGTAGCTTATGGAAAATTGTTATGAGCCTTTTATTTATGGCATGGTTTGTACACATGCAGAGTTGTGCATCATTTTGTACAATAAATGAATTCCTGAAAAATTATGTGTAAATTAAATTTTTAAATGATCTTTAAACCACAGGGGTATCATATTCTATGAAAAAGCTGCAGTGAATCCTTTTAAAATTGACGAATCCTCTTGAAATATGAATAGTCAATTTCTCAGCTGCTCAGTTAGGTTAGTTTTATTGTGTTTTCTGAAAGTAGAATCCATCTACATTTAATATAGTAATAAACTATGCATAATTAATATTGTCAAAATTGCAATAATAAAACTCGTCTCTCTGATTTCAGTAACTGGTGTGCTCCGTGAGGATTTCTTTAAAAAAATATTTAAACTGCAGTGATGGAAAAGTTATTTTCAAAATTACCATAGCTATGACATCTTTTCTCATAAGGCTTTTCTTGAACTCTCCATTGTGACCAGGGATGGCATTCAGTAGCTGAAGCTTGGGCTGTTCTGGGGCAGAGAAGAAAAGTGATTAGCCAACCAGCAGAATGAAGAGAGGTTCTGAGTATTATATATAAAATTGATTTCAATGCATTGTCTTCAACAATAACTTTTTACCAAAAAAATTTCTGCATAGCTATATTTAAAATAATGACTAGTTCTGATGCAAGAAAATGTCTACCTCTTTGCTTAATATTATTTTTCTGAAGGGAGTACTTTGTTGTGTTATATTTGAATATTTCTGTTAAAGAATTAAACCTAAATCAGAAAGACAAAGGTTAATAAAATCAACTAACAATTCTATTTCTTAGTCAGAAAGACTAAAGTTATAAAGCCACCTGACTAATGTTAATAAAGTTATCTGATTATGCTTTTCAAGTCAACTGTCAGCACTGCATGCGAATAATTGTGTATTGACAATTCCCTGTGAAAGTGTTCAATGATGGTGCACACAGGCAAACACAAAAGTAGAGCATAATTTACCTTCCCTCAAGCACCATCACCATCTCCCAATACTTTGTACCTGGCATGAAAACATTTTTAAAGCAGTTAATAGTAGTTAATACTAGTTACCCCAACCTTAAAGTGAGAGGACTGGACTAGAATGATCTTCGTAACTGTCTGTAAGGCCACCCTGTCTGCTCCAAGAAACATAATTTCACAAAGGCTTCATCTAGAAAAAGAACAGCAAGTTAAACCCAAAGTAGATGGAAGGAAAAAATAATAAAGAGCCGAGATCAATGAAATAGAAAACAGATAAACAATAGAGAAAAATCAATGAAACCAGAGCTGCTTCTTTGAAAACATAAATAAAATCAGTAAGTTTCTGGCTAAAGTAATCAAGGAAAAAAGAGAGAACACATAAATTACTATTAGCACAGATGAAAGAGAGAGGCATCACTATAAATCCTGCAGACATTAGAAGGATAATGAGAGGATATTGTGAATAATTCCATGACCCCAAATTCAACAACATAGATGAAATGGACAACCCTTGGAAACTGCAAACTACCAAAACAGTCTCAATAAGAGATAGAAAACATGAACAAATCTTTATCAATATAAAAATGGAATTCCTAATTTTAAAACTTTTCTAAAACTTCACACACTGATAGCTTCATTGGTGAATTTCATTACGCATTTAAGAAAGGGATACAAATTTTATAGTACATAAACTCAGAAAATAGAGGAAGATAAAGATTTTACCAGAAAACAAAACAAGACCACAGATCAACATCCCTCATGAACACAAACATACAAATTCTTTAAAAATATTAGCCAATTAAATCCAGAAATATATGATACATGATGATCAACTGGGATATATCCAAGGAGAGTAAGGTTGGCATAATATTCAAAAATCAACTGTGCTCATTCCAGCAGCACATATACTAAGCTTGGAACAATACAGAGAAGATGAGCACAGCCCCCGTGCAATGATGACACGCAAATTTCTGAAGTGTTAAAAAAAAAATCAATCAATGTGGATCACAGAATAAAAGATAAGATTTGTGAACATTTCAATATAGACAAACAAAAGTATTTAACGAAAAAAGCAGCATACATTCATGATTTTAAAAATTCTCAAAAAGAGTAGGTGAACAAAGATTTTGTTTACTTAATACAGAAGAGTCATCACAGTTTTCATTATTACCTATTACGTTAAAGAATTGTCAAGCATTTTGTATTTTTCAGAATTAATGATGTTTATTTATATGTAGTTACCATTATTTATCCTGAAGTTTTCTCCCTGAAATCAATTTTTATTATCACATATTATTTGTTCCCAGTAGTACTTTTTTAATACTTTTTAAAAATCCTCATCCAAGGATATGTTTATTGATCGTAGGGAGAGAAAGTAGGGGTATGGGGAGAGAAACATGGGTGTGACAGAGAAACATCAGTTGGTTGTTTCCATATGCACCCTGGCCAGGGGTGAAAACCAGCAACTTAGGTATGTGCCCCAACCAGAGATCACACCCACAACCTTTTGGTGCATGAGACGTTGTTCCAAGCAACTGAACCACCTGGCTGGACCACCTGGCCTGGACCCCAGTAACACTAAACTGGACTTCCACCAACAAAAGCAGACAGATTTCAAGCAGTATAAGCTCAGAGAAATGAATGTCTATTCTAAATGAGACCTGTAGAAACTATTGAGTAGTAAACAAATAATGAGCTATCAATTATATAAATATATAATATCTTCTTAATCTACCAGATTACCATCATCCATTAAATGAATCAATATTTTTGAAAACTGTTATGTGCTGCGTGCTGTGAGTGCAATGATCCTAACCATGCTTTAGAGGAACCCAGGCTAGTGGCCTAAGACATAGACACATAAATGAGTACTAAGTGCTCTCCTGTAATAGAAATACACACAAAGAGCCATTGAAACAAGGAGAAGAAACTAACTGATTTTGTTTGGAGGGCCTGGGGAATTTCTTAATTTTCACAAGCAATTCAAGCAAACCAATTCACCAAGCAAAGCTTCCCTAATCTCTTAAAGAACAGAAACTAAGCCTTTAATGGCCTCTCAACATACCAATACCATTTCCCTTAGGCTACAACCATATAAAAATCTTATGAATTTCATACACGCAAAAATAGACTTTCAATTTGGGAGATTAAAGCAAAAGTATTTGCAGGGAGCTGATGATGTTTTGATAATTGGTACAATCTATAGACTCCCCCTATATAACTTGAAATTGTCTATAGGAGTTATAGGCAATTAGGGCTGGAGTACTTTTTTTAAATGTATACATGTGTATGGATAAATTATTTGCAATTGTGGGAAAACTATATAATGATGTGGTAGAGGAGGTGGCAGCACAGGATAGAGAGGTTTGGTGCATGGACTTGAAGCAAGACCATCCTGGATCCAAATTCTGACCCTGTGTCTTAATAGTTATATAGTACTGGGCCAATTAATTGGTTTATCCTATGTCTAGTTGCCTCCTCTTTATTTTTATTATGTTTTTAATCCTCACCTGATGGTGTGTTTATTGATTTTAGAAAGAGAGGAAGGGGAAGGGGGAGACAGAGAAACCATCAGTTGGTTGCCTCCTGCTCATACCCCGACACCTTTGGTGTATGGAATGACGTTGCAACCAACCAAACCACCTGGCAAGGGTCAGTTTCCTCTTCTTTAAAATGAGAGTAGTAATTACTTTTCAGAGTTTTTGTGAAGGTTCTATAAAATAATGCATGAAAGCTTCCCGAGGCAGTGACTAGCACATGCATAGCAAGTACTTCTGGCCTGATAGCTGCTGTAATCATTGTCACCATCATCATTGCCCTTGTGGTGGTGACGATGATGATATTCTTTGTTTTATTGTTGTCATTACAGTGTTTTAAGAACAGAAATAATTAATTTTCTTCCTTTAGACACCTCCAAAAGATGGATTTGTGATTGCTGATGTTCAACCAGTTACAGGCAGTTCTTCAGAGGAAAGGCAGTCTCCTTCATCAAGCTTCCGACCTTCTTCCTCTTTAAGAAAGAAGAATCACCCAGGGGAGAAAGAACTCCCACCCTGGCGATCCTCTGACAAGCATCCAACTGACATCATTCGCTTCAATTACCTGGACAATTGTGACCCCATCGAGCAGATTTGGCGAGGGTGAGAGGCTCCGTGACTTTCTTCATTTGTTTGCTTTTAGAAAATATTTGCTGGCACTTCAACATATGAAAAGATGAAAATAGAACTTACTGTGAAAATGCAAGTGCTTTTCCATGCATAGAAGTAAAATGTATTGAAAAGTGAAGGAACTCTTATTGGTAAATTAGCCCTGCTCATTAGGGTTTGTTTGTATTTTATAGCTATAATGATTTAATATTACAGCTTCTTTTAATATTAAAATTTTTTTTATTGATTTGAGGGAGAGAAAGGAGGGGTGAGAGAGAGAGAAAGAGAGAGGGACATCAATCTGTTGTTCTATTTATTTTTGCATTCTTTGTTTGATTCTTGTATGTGCCTTGACCAGGGATCAAACCCACAACCTTGGCATTTGGGGATGACACTCTAACCAACTGAGCTACCTGGCTAGAGCTTTTAAAAATATTTTAATAACTCTAATTTTAATCCAGCACCATAGGGTTTATTCTAGTCTTTTCCTTTTTCCATATTTGTGTCTCCACACTCAGACTGAGAAACCTGGCTCTCATATTTATTTGTTTACTATATGTAGATTATCTATCATATACATTATACATTGTGTAGTTCACCTTTGAACAACTCCAGCTTTAGGGGCGCCAACCCCCATGCAGTTCCAATCCACCTATTGTATAAGTTTTGACTCCCCAAAAACTTAACTACAGTTGGCCCTTCACATCTAAGGATTCAACCAACCACAGATCAAAAACAGTGTTTTCCATCTGTGGTTGAGAATGCAAAAATACTGTTCTCAATGTGTCGTTGGTTGAATCCATGAACGAGAAACCTGTGGGTACGAAGGGCTGACTGTATTTATTGAAAAAAAAATGCATGTACAAGTGGTCCAGCATAGTTCAAATCCATGTTGTTCAAGAGTCAACTGTATATACATATATAATTTTGATATGTATTATATGTACATATAAAATTTTATATAAAATTGTATTATAGATTACATAATATATAAATACACAGAGTATGTATTTCCTTACAAATTCTGAAAGTAATTTACCATACCATTATTACAACAAATTTACAATCTAGAATTCAATATTGGTTTATGGTTCACTTTGTTTCAGTCTGAGCATATGTACTCATAATACCATGTTCAGAAGTTGTGTGGGTAGGTTAACACCTCCTTCACTGGGGGTAGGTTACATGGTTCTAAAGTTAAAACTATATGAGCGTATACAAAAGGTGTATAGAAGTTATGCTTAGAGAAATACCACCCCCCTTCCCTTCCATATTCCCACCCTGTTATCTTTTCTACTGCATTCCCATTAACAAATCTCATTTGTTTCTGGTTCATCCTTCCAGTGTAGCTTTTTACACAGAGTTACAAGATATATCACTTTTCAACTATCTGATGGGCAAAACTTTAAAGTTTGATGATATGTTCTGTTAGGGAGGCTGTGAGCAAACACTGATAGAATTTACTCATTGCTGGTGAGAATATAAGTTGGCACAGACCATACGAAGGGAAATTTGACAATAACCAGTACATATACATTTACATTTTGACCCAGCAACCCCACATCTAAAAATCAATGTTGAAAATACCAAAAGTACATCTGCATAAGGATATTTATTGCAGCATTGTTTATGTTTTTTAAATATTGGAAATAACTCAAGTGCTCATACGTAGGAGAGTGTTGAATACATTATGTATGCAAGGAAGCACTAGGCAACTGTAAAAGTGGATGAGGAAGATCTCTATGAACAGATAAGGAGTGATTTCCAGGGTATCTTGTTAAGTGAGAAAAGCAAATTTCAAGAGTATCTGTAATATGCCATCCATAGTATAGAAAGAAAAAAAAGAAAATAGAGATCTGTATCTATGTATACATGTGTATCTGTTCATTTGTTAACATAAGCATGCACACACAACAGATAAACAAGAAATTAAGGAAAGAAATTTTGAAATATTTGAGAATGTTGTAGTACATCTGCCACATTTTTAGAATGTATTTCAACAGATTAACATTGAGGCAGCATAGGATAGAGGCAGTGCTCAGGCCCTGAAGCCCCACTGCTTGGGCTCAAATTCAGGCTCCCACACTTGGAGCTTTTGATCCCAGGGACTCCCTTAATGTCTCTGTGCCTCAGCTTCCACATCTGTAAAGTGGCAACAATAATAATACCCACGTCAGAGGCTTCATTCACCAAAATCAGCCAGATTCTTGATGCAGCCAGTGTCATGAGGGAATAAAGGTAGGAAAAATATTCTAGAACATAAGAGACATAACCAAATTCAATTTGAACTTAGGTGGGATTCTGGTTCAAAAAAGAAGACTTTAATATGCACTCTTAGGACAATTTGATATAGGGTGGATAGTAAATGATTTTAAATAATTATTGTTCATTTTCTAAGGTATGATGATACGAGTGTGGTTAGGTAGGCAGTAGGCAGATGTCTTTATCTTAGATGAGTTATTGAAGCATTTAGGGGTGAAGCGTCTGCAATTTACTTTCTTATGGTGTGACACACACACATATAGTATTGTGTGTATATGTAGGTGTGTACATATATGAATCTATGCATATAGAGAGATGAAGCAAAAGTAGCAAAATGTTATCAATTGTTGAATACAGCAATCATATATTGGTGAATATATGGGTAATCACTGTACTATTCTTTCAGCTATTCTGTATGCTTGAAGCTCTACATTTATCCTGTAGAGTGTCTCACCTTCTAGGGAAATTTGAAAATTAAGCAGCAAGAAATATTCCACAAAGCTTATCTTTTAAAATAAAACTTTATAGTGGAAGTTCACATATATACAAAAGTAGAGAGAATAGAACCCCTTGTAACCATCATCAAGCGTTAACAGGTTTCAACTCATGACCAGTCTGGTTTCACTTATTCCTCACCCACTCTGCTCTTCTCCCAGGTTATTTTTGAGACAAATCCAAATGTCATATTTTTTTCATTCATACATATTTCAGTGCATACCCTTAAAAATAGACTCTGTCTAAAAATCATAGCTTGATACCACATCCCATCTAAATCAATGAATGATTTTGTTAATAGAATCAATCAAATATCAAGTCAGGTATCTGGTTTCCTTGAATATCTTAGAAGTTTTTGATATTTTTAAACAGTTGGTTTGTTTAGTCAGGTTCAAAATAAGGTTTACATACTGCATGTAGTCCATGTGTCACTGAAGTGTTTTTTTAATCCATAGGTTTTCCCCCTTTCCTTTCCTTCCTTCCTTCCTTCCTTTTTTTCTTTCTTTCCCTTGACATTTGTGATAGAAATCAGGTCATTTGTCCTGCAGAGCTTCTCACCTTCTGAATGTTGTTGATTGTGCTCCCAATGTCACATGTCCCTCCGTGTCCTGTGTTTGGCCATACCAGTGGTGAGACATAGAGGTTTGCGTATACATATAATGGTCATGTATTCCCATCATGAGGCACACAGTTTCTCATCTTTCCTTTTTTGTGTGATATTAGTGGCCATTGATGATCATTGCCTGGATCCATTATTTTTCTGGAAAGGGCCAGACAGCAAATGCGTTCGGCTTTGTAGGACATATGTCACAATTGCTGAACTCTGCCACTGAAGCGTGAAAATAGCCATAGACAATATGCAAAAAATAATCATGACTATGGTCCAATAAGACTTTATTTACAAAAATAAGCCTCAGACTGCAGTTGATTTCTGGGCTATGGTTTGCTCATCCCTACTTTATCCTAATATATATGATAATTTTAGAAAACAAATACTAATATTAATACAAACAGTAGGATTACTGAAAACAATGTAAGATTCCTTTGCCTGTGTTTTTGTCCTTAGGATATATTCTACCAAGAATATTCAAACAAATTACCGTGTTAAAGCCCCATGAAATAATTCTTCCATGTGTGCTAATGCCACCAACTCAGTAGACAAGATCATTTGTTTCATTTTGTTTTTAGGTTTTAAGGATTCTCAGCCTTCATTTAATTTTATAATTTTCAGAAAAAATGAGATGGTTCCAAAGTCAAATAAACAAAACAAAATATACGTGGAAAAGTCTAGCTTCTGTTCCTACCATTCCAGGCTGTTGCTTGTGTCTTGTTGGGTCACATGGGAATCCTATTTTTCAAAATGTTTTGATGTAATCCTTCCATTTGAAAAACACATAAAGAAATACACACACACAGACCCTGTTTTTGAAATAAATAGTAGCATACAATGTGTACCACTTTATCCACTTTTCTTTTTTTCATGTAACAACATATCCTGGAAGTCTCTCAACAATTGTATATAGAAATATTTTGCCTCCCTTCTTACATCTTAAAACACTCCATTGTGTGGCTGTGCCAGAATTTATTCAACCAGTTCATTATTGATAAACATTTGGCTTGTTTCCAGCTGAGTAAAGAAAATCTTTTAATTGATTTTTTATTTTTTAATTAATTTAATTTAATTTATAAATCATGTTTATTCTTTTACAGTTGTCTCAATTTTTACCCCTTTACCCCCCTCCACCCATCCCACCCCACCCTACCCCGCTCCCACCATCAGTTCCCACTCTGTTGTCCATGTCCATGGGTCATTCATACATGTTCTTTGTCTAGTCCCTTCCCTTTCTTTCCACCACTGCCCTCTAAGAAAATCTTTTAAATCATAGGAGCAGCAAAATCAAATGGACAAAGTTTTAAAATGTTTATTTGTAATTTTTCCAATGCTTTCCAACTTACAGAAGAAAAAAAAGACATGAAGTGACCCCAGATTCCAGCCGACAGTCACATGACAAGAAAAATAAGTTGCAGGACAGATCTAAGCTAAGAAAAGCTCAGTCACTGGTGAGTATTGCTTTTAAAAGATTCCCCACCATAATGTTAATGAAAATTGCTGGGTGTCTAATCCTATTTGCGAAACTTTTTTTTTTTTTTAAATCAGAATGATTAAGTGGCAGTTTAAATCCTGGTCTCTGAAACTGACAAACTGTGTAACCTTGAACGCACCCTTTCTCTCATCTGTCTTTTGAAAAAGAACTGATGTTTATAAACCTGCTTTGAGAACTATGTAATATAAAGGGAGCATTATTATCATTTGGTTATTTCTTCTGCTATGTGGACTTTGTGAGGTTTGGGAGGGAGAGCTCTAGAAATTTCTCTACAGAAATACCTTATCTATAGAGTGAAGGTTTCACTGACCTAAGAGAAAGGGACACTTCCCATAGCTTTCTAGCCACCAGTGGAGTATGAGTATAACAGGGCATTTCAAGTAACTTCAGAAAAAGTGATTTCAGAACTTTTCTTTACCTAATGAAAAAAAAATAGCTAATTGACTATCTAATAAAGTCAGTAATTGTGTTTAGGAAGCATTATCATCTCATAGCAGTTTTCCAAATTGTGGTTCTGTACTCCCAATGGATCCCTTTTAGTACATATGAGTCTTTGGTGCAAAGTAGAAGGAAATAAAGGTGGAATAAAAAAATGTATATTATTAGTAAAGATTTAGAAAAAGTTGAGGATATACACTCAAGGAAAATTAATATAAAATGGATATCAGTTGGGAGAAGAAAAAGTATGTACTCATGAATAAATCACTTTGATAGCTCTGCTTCAAAGCCCTATTACTTTCTGTTTAAATTTATTTTCAAGTGTTATCATGTTCAAAAAAAAGAGAGAGGGAGATGAGCTTTGCAAATAGGGCCGTTTGTATTCGAGGGACCAATTTTGTGGGACTGGATGAGGCTTATCACAGGCAGATGCACAAATGCCCAAGGGGATGGGGAAGCTTAAAGCAGAGCAGTAAAATTGTCAGGGAAAACCATTAATTGAGAAAAATAACTTCATGAGGCTTACCACACAGGCCATTCAGGCATGCTTCTGTCTGGTCTCCCGGCCCCTCCTAAGCCAGGAGTAGAAGAGAAATCTGGGGGAGATCAGGGAATTGAAGGACGATAAAACTTGATGGTGATGTATGCTCACAAGTTATCAGCACAAACATTTCTCCAGCTTAAAAAACAAAACAACAGCGACGAAAACCAAAGGCTAAACAGAAGCCTTCCCTATGGGCTTTTGACATTAACCATCTGTCACATACTAGCAGAGCTTGTTTAAGTTAAAATATTTGTTGTAACTGAAAAATTTTAAAAGTTGCTGCTAATTAAGGCCTAAAGGGAAACGGGGCACATTAAACAATGACAAAGAACAATGAAGCTATTAATCAATGAAGTGCATGACTGTATTGATCTACTTGTATTGTTTATATAAATATACTAATTACAATCACTATTTATGCTTAGTAGTTTTGCTAAGAAACATAAGGCATAATTAAACCCTCCAAAAGTACGCGAAGATCTTTGAGTGGGGGAGGGTCGCGGGCGTACTGTGGCTAAGGCCCCCTCTCCACGAGGCGGCAGTTTGCCCTCACTGTAGGCCACGTACCTCCTAGGAAATAAGCAACCTCCTCAGTGATGCAAAATGATTGCGAAGATGAAGAAACACTGGATGTGGAGCCTGAGAGAAGGGGAAATGGGTATTGAGGAAACTCAGCAAGGGGCCTAAGGCAAGTCGGGAGAAAGTAAAACTCTGACAACTGCAGTGGTAGAGTTTGAGAGACACCGAGGTGCAATTGCAATGGAAAAATTACATATTCATTTGTTAGAGAGTTCTGGTATCATGAGACAGATGTATTTAGGAAGATTTCAGGAGGAACTAGAGACAAGGAAGCAGTCAAGGACGAGAGAGGCAGACCCCGAACCTGCCCAAGAGGGTCCTGAGCTCTGAGTGCAAGAGTATTCCTTGCTCCTTGAAAATAGAAAAGGGAGCATGCGATACTTGGAGAAGTTAAAGCTTTGTGAATGGAAGGATTGGAAGAGAAAAAAAAGCACAGGAATGTAAAAGCATAAAAGCACGGAGAAGATTCCTTAGGCTGTCTCTTCAGGGTTGTATGTAACTTTTAGGCCCCGGGACCATCTTCACTTTTCGCAGGTCATGACTTAGAGCCTTCCAATATGGGCATCCTCTCTAAAAGGAGGAGCATGCTTAGGGAAACAGTTTCGAATTTACATGTATTGCTATGAGCGTATATGATGTTCTCTATTATCTAATCGGGTTGAGTTTGCAGGGCCCGCCACCAAAAAGGGTACCTGATTTCCTCTTAGGTTTTCAATTCTTGTGCTGCCTTGTTACAGCTGCTCCATTTAACCACCTTCTGGTGTCAGTCATTGATGGAAGATGGGAATAAAGCCTAGGTCTTCTCACTAAGGCCTTACAATTTTAAACATTGTTTATTGAAATTCTGTAAATATCAAGAAATGCCCAACTATTAGTTATTTAAAATTCCATATAGAAGAAAGCAATTTAAAAATATAGCCCTGGCTGGTGAGGTTCAGTGGATTGAGTGCCGGCCTGAGACCCAAAGTGCCACCGGTTAGATTCCCAGTCAGGGCACATGCCTGGGTTGCAGGCCAGTTCCCCAGTAGGGGGTGCACGAAAGGCAACCACACATTGATGTTTCTCTCCCTCTCTTTCTCCCTCCTTTCCCCTCTGTCCAAAAATAAATAAATAAAATCTTTAAAAATATATAAACACCACAGTAGAGCCAGGTACCATTTTAATTAAACTCCAGAGGTTTTCCCATCTCGTGTAAAGGTGTGGGGGAAAAAAACACATTTTTTAAATCATAACAGCTGGCCCCACAATTCCTCTTAGGGAAGGGTGAGGAAGGAGCTGTCTCCTTGGGGGAAAGTCGTTGATGAACTTGTAGAGAAAGATGACACCTTGAAGGCTTGGGTGCTCTGGGGCACCTCCACCAGAGGAGGGAAACCTGCTCTGCTGGAGATTAGAGAAATTTGTTGTTCCTGCTCCAGCAAAGGAGGGGGGAGCAGAGGTACCGGGGAGGAAGGAGCAAGAAGTGGCTCTGAGGGCAAGAAGCTGAGGCAGGGGAGAGAGACCAGGAAGATGTTAAGACAGGAATACCACCCATTTCGATCAAATTTATTTGCTATTGCTGGGAAGTAAACCCTGTCTTCTATCTCTATAGTAAATTCTATTCAATTTACACATGGAAGGAAGAGCTCAGAAGTCTAACAGGCCAAGAAAACAAAAGCCCCTTGGGACAATTCACAAAAACTCAGGGGGTGGGCTTTGGACTTCCCAGGCCCTGGAATTGGACTCATAGGACTCCAGCTGACATCTTGTTTAGAGGTTTTTTTTTCTTTTTCCTACCAAGTTAAGTATAAAAACAAATACCTTTTGTCTCTCACTGAACTTTTGCTTGGAGGTTAGCAGTCCTCACTTCTAGGTTCTGATTTGGGCACGGATTTCAAAAAGCTTGCTGTCTCAGAGCAGTCATTGTCCTACAAGTAACAAAAGCCTTTAATTGCCTGCTTACTCTAATTGCTTTAGATAAGACCTTATCTTTTCCTGTGCTCTGCTAATTCCAGCCTCTGCAGTTACCTCCTTCACCTCTTTCCAGGATCACTTGATTGTGATTAGTTAAAATACTTCTTTAAGCTTTCTCATTTTTTTCCCCCCTCTGCGTCAAAGGGGGAGGGAGAAGGAATATGCTTGAAAGTGATTCCTGGTTCCTGTCATGGAAAGAACGGCCGTTTAAGCATCAGAAAACTCAGATTTCTAGCCTCAGCTCTACCATCAACTTTGCGTTCACTCAGCCTCTGTTTCAGTTTTCATTTTTCCACATATAAAATGAGAGTTAGGATTCCAGCCTCTTTCAGGTCCATTCCAAGCTAACGCCTGACCTGTGGACCCCAGAGCTTCCGCCCACACTCACTCCCCTCTCTCCCGACCCCTGAGGGACAAGCTCTGACTAAGGTGACTTGACACAGAATAACAAAAAGGATCCATTATTTTGTGAATCCTACTTATAAAGCACAAAAAAAAAGGTTTCTGTCTCCCATCTTTTTTCTTTGAACCTTAGAAAATGTAATGAATTGAAACAGAAGAATTTACGAAACGAAGCTGTGCAGTGGTTTCCTTGGGCAGCGTTGAATAGACTTTCAGTTCTGGTGACCTCCCGGGTGTTTGCTTTATCATGTTTGTGTGATTTGGATGTGCAGAACTGAAAGCATCCATAGGAGAGATCTTTAATGATTCAGCACAATCGGTGAGATTCTTGAGAATTCCACTGGGAAGGAAGAATAAGAAAGAATATGGGCTTTGCCGTCAGAGGGACCTGGGTTCTTTTACTAAACCACGCATCTTTGGATAAGTCACTTACCCTCTCCGAGCCTCCGTTTCTCCACCTGTTAAATGGGGATAATGATTGTTGTCAGAACCAAATGCCAGGTGTATATTAAGTACAATACATGTTTGTGTTAAATACCATCTTATTTTTCACTTTGCTGACCAAGAGCAACAGGTTTGGAACTTAAACAGCTTAGGTTCATTGTCAGAGTTTTAGTAGCTCAGTCCGTTTGGCCAAGTTATTAACCTGGCGGAGACTGTTTCTCGTCTGTGAAATGGAATTAGTAACACCACCAACCTCACCGGGTTGGGAAGTGGAGGTAAAGCATTTAGCACAGTGCCTACCTCAAAGTCGGTGTTCTGTAAATAGAAGCCAGTAGTGGTGACAGCAGTGGTAGCAACAGTCAAAATCACACCAAATCCACCATCTGAGACGGCAGGGAAGGCTGAGAGCTAGCTGATGGCGAGCAGCTGCCGACAGCGGCCCGCCAGGCGGCCAGGACGAGGCTCCAACCTGTGGAATAAGTTTCTCTTTCTCGCTTTTGCCTTTACTTCTCCCCAGTTTCTTTATCTTTTCCCTTTGTCTTTTCTTTCCCTCATAGTCCCAGTATGTAAAATATGGTTGCATCCATAGTTGTATGAAATGGAAGCCAGATACTTTCCCGTCCTGCCTGGCCCTGCTCCATCTTGCGCCTGTATGTGTATGTGCTCATGCGTTCATCCCTCATCCAAAGTGAACAGTGAGCCCGTGGAACTCAGTGCCATGAACTCTGTGCCATGTGCGTTCCACTGCTTACTAACTACAGTGCTGGTTCTTAATGTTTGAGATGTCAGAGAAGAAAAGACATTATTGCTAAGAATCTTGGGGGCAAAGTAAACTCTGAGGAAGGACCCTACTTAGAGTCTCTGCATTTCTCCTTGTCTGCAAAGGAGCATAGTTTGCTTGTTCTGTCTTGTTGCCTCTTCTTTTATCAAGTTAGGATAATAAATTACCCTGGTGTTTCCAACAGAAGTGATTCCACCTGCCTCTCTTTCACTGAACATTTAGATTGGAGCCAAATGGCTACTTGTTTTTATTTAAGAGTTAAACGGCAACTGTTTGACAAAAATTGCCTTCTCTTCAGGTTCTACCAAAAGAGAAGAACTGTGTGTATGAGTTGTATAATATTATTAGTTATCTATATTATTTATCATGTATTTTAATCAGTTACTACCAGGGTTTAAAATATATAGATATGTATGTAGGATATGTGTTTGTGTATATAACATTTAGTATTGTAATATAACATTTCACTACAAACTACAGTAGAAACCAATTTTCTGAGACATGGATGTTTTGAAATATGAGTTCACAATCATTACTAACAAACAACCATTCGAACTGTACGACCTATGAATATTTTGCAACACACCCCTACCTTATTTGACCTACTTGAGAGACTAAGTGGCGCCATCACATAGTCTTGGATTTAGATTTCAAAACCCTGCCTGGAGTCGCTTAGCCTTCCTCTTACCCCAAGGTTACTTAAAACAGAAACCAAGGACAGAAGCCTGTGGCTTCTTTAAAACTATATCGATTATTTCTCCCTAACACCTTCCCTCTACCCACAGAAGCAGAGTGAACTAGGACGAAAAGGGAGGGAGCACCCTCTCCTCAGGTGTTGACCTACGCAGGGCCCCCCTGGAAGGGTGACGGGGCAGGCCTGAGCAGCCTTTGCGGCTCCCAGGGAGACGGGAGGATGGGAGGGGTCCTCCTCTCAGAATTTCCCAACGGAAAAGTCCGTGAAGCAGCTCCATCCCGGGGATTAAGCGTCCACTGGACTGAAGCCAGGATGAGCAGTCACCGCCCTTAGGCTCTCCCCTCAGAAGGAACCCCTGTGGTGGACCCTGCCCAGCCACCTTCTGTGTGCTCTCCATCCCCGCCGGTGGCCCTCACTTGTTACTCAGCTACCAGCCCAAGCCTGGGCAAGTTACAGCAGGGAGTCAAAGCTGCGTTTCTATGAGTCCAACAAACAAACAAACAAACAAACAAAACCCTTCAGATTTTACGACTTACAAACACAGTAATCCATAGTTGTATACAGTTTCACCACATCCTCCCTGAACTGAGAGTCGTGATAAAGTGTTGAGGGAAGATTTTTTAAAAGGGGGACGCAGGTGGGGTCTCCTGCAAAGTGAAAGTTGTCACCTTCCTTCCCTTTCTTTACCATGTCACAGGCTTGGGAAGATTAAATGAAATAATGAATGTAAGACCCTCCGCCCCGTGCCCAGCAGTCAGGTATTTGCCATTAGTGGTGGTGGTGGTGTTTCTACAAGCGCGATGGGCACGTTGCAGAGCTCTCATTGTCAACACTGTTTTTATCCATTTTTTCATATCCACGTACTCCTTTACCTGATCTGTCAAGCAAGGGGTATCCGAGGTATCTGGGTTGAACAATCGTATTAATGTTCCCGCCACCATTCCTGAGACCACAAACACAACAGGACATGCTAGGTGTGTGGTACTTGCTGGACGGGACTTACGCACAGTCAAGAGGGGGTTGAACACATCGGCCAAGACCTCAGGAGGGAGAGCCGGGCAAGAGATATATATACAGCAATTAAAGGTTTAGGCACTGATTGCCCAGGAAGTGAACCAAGAACAGAACCCTGGAGAATTCTTGATGTATAAAGCATGGCCTTACGTTTCTCTTCTCCTGTGTCCTTCCATTTAAAGATGTGATAACAACATGTAGAGATATTATTAGGTAACTTCTATCTCTAGAATAACAGCAAGTTCAACCGATGAGAGAAGTCTATTTAAATCACCTGATTCCATCCCTCTTCATGGGAACAGGCCGAAGGAAGGGACACTCTGTGGGGATGCTCCAGTACTAGGGCTCCTGGGGGTGGCATGGCTGTGGCCACTGTGAGACTATCAGAAAAAAGGCGACAGCAAATAGGCCTGCACCTATGTGAAGGTTATTCACATTAGCATTGTTTGCACGAGCGAAAGATTGGGACCAGCTCTAATACTTGTCAACGTGCTTCATCCCTAAACGGACTGGAACAAACCATTGGAAGACTGAAGAAGTTCTGTAAGTACTGACTTGTGCCACCTAGGAATTTACATGGTTTCAGAGGCTCTGTGCCAGGAACCAGGGACTCGAACCCAACATTGGTAAAAGAAGTTTCCAATTATTCCTAGATCGTCAGATGCATCTAGACCAAGATCTGGGGATGGCAGATTTGTACCCTTTTATATAATTTCCTCATGTTTTCCCCTTAAATCTTGTCTTTTCTCTTGTAATGGTGAACATTAAAGTCTTACAATGAAGAGGGTCTACCAACTTGCTTTCTGGGACAGCAAGGAAGTGTGGAAGTGAGGAGAGCGCCTTCTCAGAGCCCGTCTTGAAGGGAAGTGAAACTGCACAACCTGGACAGGCCGTGACCGCCCCTGAGAGGAGGGGCGGCTGGGGTGGTCCCTGGGACCTGTGGCAGAGGAGAAGGCGCGCCTGAGAGGAGCCTGCCTGGGCCTGTGAGCCTCCCTGGGGACCTCCGGAGACAGAGGTCCTCCAATGCAGAGATGCATAAGTTTCGCACGGTAATAGGATTAAATTTAAAATTGTTACAGGGAAGGTGTGACTAGCCCATTCTTGAATCAGAGACCGAGGTTTTTTTCTTCACTCAACAAGTATTATCTTATTTTCATTATTACTAAAATAGCACAGAGGAACACTTCCATTTGTTGTCTTACTTATCCTGATCTTAAAACAACACTGAAAATGCTTACTCTGTGCCGATCTTAGAACAACACTGAAAACCAGGGGAGATTATTTCTCCCGTTTCTTCCCCCTTTCCTCTTCCATTGTAACAGCTTGCCATGTTTAACCCCAGTTTTACCTGCTCTTTCCCAGAAAAACCAGTAAACAAGTATGGATCCATCTGGTAGAGTCAGGCAGCCGTAGTTTCAATGAGGTAGAAGATTGCAGCTTGACTCCTGGGGAGCTTGAGTTTTCATCAGAAGACAAATACATTCAGAAACAAATACTAAATGCCAAGAGCACACACACATGTTCAGTGCTAAGTCAGAGGCCTCCATCGAAATCCATCTGAGGCAGAAACCCCTGTGGATCCAGACACTCAAGCTTCTGGGAGAAGGTGGGCCTTGAAGGACAGGTTTGCACTCATATTTAGAGAAGGAGTACGAGAGCATATGAGGTAAGTAAGACCAGTTGGTGGGGCGCATCTTTGCGGAATTAGAGGGACCCGGTTGGCCGGGGAAGAGAACAGGAGACAGCAGTCAGCAGTGGGAGCAATCTCTGATTTTTCCCAGATTCATAGAAACCCTGTGTGTTGCCAACATACTCTCAGAGCGTTGGGGGGACGTAACAAATGATGCGACTGCTGAGACTTGCCGGCTGCATATGGGGCGACAGGAGGGGGACTGTGTTCGGGGAAGGCTGCAGTGTCCGTATACCTGCTCCGTCTCCGTGTGTCTCTGTGCACAGTAGGAGCCAGAATAAGGGGGATCTTACTAGTTTCCTGCAAGCTCACCTTGTATTATTTCTCCATTCTTTCCTTTTCCCTGTCCTGCTCACGGCCAGATGTCGAGGAGAAAGCCTTTCTCACTGTGAGTTTTGGTTGGAAGGTCACCCTGTGAGATTTGCCTTTTTAGAGAGAATGTGTGCATGCACAGATTGGCAGGGAGGAAATATGGGCAGTCTGCTGATCCTCAGCTGGTCCCAGAGTCACAGGTCTCCAGACCTGGCCTGACACCTTTTCCTTCTGTGAACTTGGGCTGCCAGTTAACCTGCCTGCTCCTCCGTTTCACTGATTTGTAAAATCGAGCATGTTAATACCTCTCTATTGGCCTCACAGAATTTCCCCGAGGTTCAGATGAAATTATGGTTGTGAAAGTGCTCTGGAGATGAAAGAAGTTATTATTAGTCGCTCAAGGTGAAGATTGCATGGGGATAAGGGGTGGCGAAATTGGCAAGTCTCAATAAATCCTATCCAATCCTATGATTTTATACAATTGTTTTACATCATTAAAATAAGTTTAATTATATAGCTTCCTCTTGATGTTTTAATGACTCTCACTCTGGCGATCTCTTTTTCCTCCCTAGCTATCCCTAAGTGCAGAACCCAGCTCCCCTCTGCAAGTTCCAGCTCATCCCGCCTGGCCTCCCTATCCGTGGGCGCGGCACCCCGCCTCCGAGGCAGCAGCGAAAGCTCTCAGGCAGCATCTTCAGAGACATCCTGGCCTTCGGTCGTTACCTATCCAGGCTCCAGAACTGAAGCTGATTTAAAGACGTGAAAAGATTTTTATAGAAATGACAAAATGCTCCCCACCTCGGAGCGTTGGGTGTTACTTGGCTCCTCTATTAGAAACTATTGGTTTTAAATAGTAGTCATACATCCTAAATTAAACCATTTAAGGTCAAGTAACCATTTCAAGGTCCCAGAAGTTACCATTCTAGGATACTTATTCACCTAAGTAAAGCAGAATGATAGAAAAACAAATATGTATCATGTGATGTTGAACACACATTCATATACTTCATACTGTTTTGTGTGTATATATATTTTAATGGTTTAAAGTGGCGGCCTGGCACGATGGTAGAGGATAGTGGTTTGGATGCCCAGGTGATCGGTGGAGGGCAAAACAGGACCAGCTTACAACTGCTGCGTTGGCACCACCCAGGGTGAAGCTCACACGTGCATGCCTCGGAGGCAGAGAAGAAAGGAAACACACCTAGATGAGACCTTCTGATCGTTCCATGGGCAAAGCAGGTGCTATCATTTCGGTTTTCCTCTTCCTGCAGCCTGAGCCCTCATGGGTGGCTCCCAGGAACCAGGAGCAGCTGTGTAAGCTGGAGTGGCCTGCACCTCCAGGATTCTGCCTGCTTTTGTCCCAGTAAACCGCTGTGATTATTGCAGGAGCTGGTCATGTTGTGGGTGAATGTTTGAATAGGCCAGTCTGGAGAATGACCCTGGCTGCTTCTGGAACAGACCAGGATCTCCTGGAGCAAGGACATGCCAAGAAAAAGAGGCCCGTCCAGTAACAGTGTCTGTCTCTTGTCTTAAGCTGTATTCAAGTTCTCTATTTCTATGAAGTTACTCCCAAACTTTGTTTCTTTTAACAGCAGTCTGTTGTTCTGCTTGTGAATCTGCAATTTGAGGGGCTCTGGGGGAAAGCCTGTCTCCGATCCACACGGCATCCTCTGGATCCTCCTGACAGAGGGCTGGAAGATCCACTTCCAAGGTGTTGTAGGGACAGGGTTGGAAAGTTGGTGCTGGCCGTCCACCGGGAGCTCAGCCAGGGCTGAGGGTGCGGCCTCTGCTTCTCTCCACGTGGGCCGGAATTCTCACAGCTCGGCCTGGGTTCTAGGGACAAGCACCCCAAGAGAGAATCAGCTGGAATCTGAACCACCTGTTTTCTCTGGTGTCACCCCATCATCCCCTGGCGATCACAGAGGCTTGTCCAATGTCAAGCACAGCGGGCATAGTCTCAGGGGAGTTACAAGGTTCTGGAAGAACATGTGGGATGAGATATATAATTGTGACCATTGTGGAATAGACTCGGGATGGTTCCTTGTGGACCTTTACCTACCCATCATTGGTCACAGCACAGTTACACAAACTGGGAATGTTCCCTGTATTAATCTGCTCAGGCTACGAAATACCAGACTGGGAGGCTTAAACAGTGGGAGAACTGGTTGGTGTCTGGTAAGAGCTCTGTCCTTGGGTTGCCCTTTCACTGTGTGCTCACATGGTCTCTCCTTGGTTCCTGTGCAGAGACAGAAGAATCTCTCTTTGGTGCATCTTCTTAGGACACTACTAATCCTATCCGTTCAGGGCTCCACCCTTATGACCTCATTTAACCTTAATTACTCCCTCAGAGGCTCCATCTGCAAATACAATCACTCTGAGAGTCAAGACCTCAACATATGAATGTGGGGGGCATAACCATTCAGTCCATAACATGCCACATCCATTGCCCTGCCTTGATTTCATCTGTATTCAGTATTCGAGAAGGATGCAGACCAAAGGCAGGACTCTGCCCCTGCAGGGCTCCACGTGGCCAGCTGAAGGCCTCTTCCGGGGGCAAGGAATGCAAGAGAGCATCTTAATCCCTTGTAACAGGTCCCCACACTGATTATACCTGCAGAAAGCCTAACGCCAAAGGACCTGTGTAATTTTGTGAGCATCAGGGCCAGGGGAAGCTCTGCAGGTAATGTCCTAGTTAACAGACAGTTTAGGGACAGGAGGGGGTGCTGGGAGATGAAACTCAAGAGATGGGTAGCTGTGGGAAGGATACTGCCATGAAGAGAGGGACACGGGATGAGTTCCCAGGACCTCCCTCCAAAAGGGAGGGAGGGCAGCTCTGGCTGGTGTGGCTCAGTGGATTGAGTGCCAGCCTGTGAACCAGAAGGTCGCTCGTTGGATTCCCAGTCAGGGCACATGCCTGGGTTGTGGGCCAGGTCCCCAGTTGGGGGTGTGCAAGAGGCAACTGATCGATCAATGTTTCTCTCCCCGTCTCTCTCCCTTTCTGCCCTTCTCTCTAAGAAATAAGAAATAAATACACTCTTAGAGAAAGGGAGCGCACAGGTGAGTGTGTCTAAACCTTAGAAGGGGTGACGGACACCCGGGAGCTAGATCTGAGTGGTACCTAGGTGGGGGCTGCCCAGTGCCAACTCCAGCTTCTTTTTAACTACTCAGCTTCACATTTTAATGAGAACCTTGACTTACCTCCTATGAAGTCTTAATCCTCTATACAAACACAGTAATCTATCCACTTTACCTATACGCTTTTACAATTGTTATTTATGCATGTATTTTGTTACCCCACCCCTTCTAGTTTTGGAGTTCTTCAAAGGATACCAGTTTTACTCTCTCATAGTTGCACATTCTCTGTTAACGCCGTTAGCACAAGGCTGGAGTTAGTCGTCACTGGTTCTTTATTCACTGACACTAGCAAAGAAAGAACACAAGAGGGCGCTCCTTTTCTTCTAATCTGAGTCCAGAGAGCTGAACATTTTCTGCCCATTTTAGGTCTCGAAAATTCAGAGATGACTGGTGTTGGTGAAAACATTTTTCACTTTTAGGGAGAGATTTTTTTGGGAAATTTTGAATACTTAAAGCATTACACTTAGGGAGATATTCGCCTAATTTGAATCAATAAAACAAAACACTCATATAGTCCGTTTTTGAAGAATTCACAGTCCAAAGAAGAAACATGCAAGGGGGGATCCCCTAAACAAACTGGAATTATCTCCTGGAGGGTGGGCCCCTTGCAGTACGGGCTTCCCCTGCTGGATGAGTGTTCTGGCACCCCATCTGTATTAGTGTACCAACTGGTATTGTCGTGAGAAGCTGCATTGAATTTCAGCTTCAGTGAATTTTTTTTGAAGACTCTGAACACATTTGCCCATTTCTAGATGGGCTATTTACAAGCGCACCTGCCCACACCTCTCTGAGTGCTCAGCAGTCTTTGACCAAAAATGGCGTGACCCCCGTGCCCCATCCTCCCTATTCACTTCATCTTGCCCCAAGTAACTTTTGCTGTTTCCCCGGACGGAAAAAAGCCCTCAAAGGAAACCATTTTGCCAATATTGAAGAGGTGAAACAAAAAACGGCAGAAGCACTAAACGGCATCGAAATCGATGAGTTCAAAAACTACTTTGAGCAGTGGAAAAAAAAATCTCAATAGGTATGTCGCAACAAATGGAGAGCACTTTGAAAGTGACTGAAGATTAAACATGTAAGAATTAATACCCAATTTTTTATAAATCAATTCTATTTTTTGCCCCCTCCCACATATTTTTAAAAAGTAGCTAATCCCTTTACATCCATTAGGATGACTGCTATCAAAAAATGTAAAATAACGAGTGTTATTTTAACAAGGATGTGGAGAATTAGAACCTTTATGTATTGCTGGTGGGAGTGTGAAATAGCATCTGCTATAGAAAACTATGGTGGTTTCTCAAAAAACTAAACATAGAATTACCGTCTTTCAGCAATTCCACTTCTGAGTGTATACCCCAAAGGAATCGAAAGCAAGGACTGAGATATTTGTGCGGCAATACTCACAGTAGCCAAAAGGTGGCAGCAACCCAAACACCCATCCATAGAGGAATGGATAAACAAAAGGTAGTATATATACACAATGGAGTATTTATTCAGCCTCAAAAAAAAGAAGGGGCTTCTGACACATGGTGCAATGTGGAAATGCAAACCAAAACCACAATGAGATTTTACCTGACACCTGTTAGAATGGCTACCCTCAAAAAGACAAGTGATAACAAGTGCTGGTGAGAAACTGGAGAAAAGTGACCTCTTACGCACTGTTGGTGGGAATGTAAATTGGTGCAGCCACTAAGGAAAACAGTATGGAGTTTCCTCAAAAAGTTCAAAGTAGAACCACCATATAATCCAACAATTCCACTTCTGGATATATATCAAAAGGAAATAAAAAAGGATATCGAAGTGATAATATGCATGCCCATATTCACTACAGTATAATTTACAGTAGCCAGGATATGGAAACAAACTAGGTATCCATCAACAAATAAATGGATAAAGAAGATATGGTCTCTATGATGTACATGGAACATCATTCGGACATGGGAAAGAAGGAAATCCTTACATTTGAGACCCCATGGATCTCCCTTGAGGGCATTATGCTAAGTGAAATAAGAAAAGAAAAATACTTCATGATATCACTTATATGTGGAATTTTTTTATTTTTTATTTTTTAAGTATTTTACTTATTTGCTTATAGAAAGAGGGACAGGGAGGGTAAAAGAGCGGGAAACACCGATGTGTGAGTAAAACATGATATATGAGGAAAACATCCATCAGCCCACAACCAAGGCATGTGTGTTGACTGGGGATCAAACCACTGACCCTTTGGCTTGTGGGATGATGCCCCACCCACTGGGCCACATGAGCCGGGGCTAGAATCTTTTTTAAAAAGTAAAACTCATAGAAACAGAGAGTAGAAAAGTGGTTGCCAAGGGCTGGGGTTTGGAAAATTAGGAGAAGATGGTAAAAGGGTACAAACTCCCAGCTATAGGGTGAAAAAAGTCTGAGGATCTAATGTATAACATGGTGCCGCTAGTTGATAACACTGTATTGTTTAATTGTTTGCTAAGAGAGTAGAACTTAAAAGCTCTCATAAAAAAAGAAAAGAAAAGAAAACACAAACAAAAAAATGCATGTTTAAAGGTTCCCTGGTGCTTCTCACGCCTTTTGATGTTTGAAGAATACTGCTGTTTACCACTCTGTCCTTTCCCATCCGCTCTCCACTGGGAGAGGCAAGATCACACTTTTAGAGGTGTTCACTAAGTAGAGAGTTGACTTGGCCCTTTAAGGCTGGATGGGGTTTGTGTGGACAGGAATAAGTCAGGACAAAGTTCCAGGGAAATAGAATGGTTTCTGCAAAGCAGGAAAAAAAAAAACAAAAATAAAAGAGAACAGAGATTAGACAACTTTGAAGTCAAGGATTCATGAAAGAGAGTAGTAGTGATAAGTTTGGAAAAACCCTGAATAAGAGGCCAAAGTATTTATTAGGGAGTGCAGTGTTTTCTCTGACTTGGTCATGGTAAAATTTTGATATACTTCATCAACCACAAGAGACAATTTTTTAG